GATCTGAACCAGCCTTATCTGTATACTACTAGAGATGAGTGTGTCCAGAAGGTAAAGGACGTGATTCATGGCCATCCAGATCTGAACCAGCCATATCTGTATACTACTAGAGATGAGTGTGTCCAGAAGGTAAAGGACGTGTAAGCGATTCATGGCCATCCAGATCTGAACCAGCCATATCTGTATACTACTAGAGATGAGTGTGTCCAGAAGGTAAAGGACGTGTAAGCGATTCATGGCCATCCAGATCTGAACCAGCCATATCTGTATACTACTAGAGATGAGTGTGTCCAGAAGGTAAAGGACGGTGTTTATAAGCTGATTCATGGCCATCCAGATCTGAACCAGCCATATCTGTATACTACTAGAGATGAGTGTGTCCAGAAGGTAAAGGACGTGTAAGCGATTCATGGCCATCCAGATCTGAACCAGCCTGATCTGTATACTACTAGAGATGAGTGTGTCCAGAAGGTAAAGGACGTGTAAGCTGATTCATGGCCATCCAGATCTGAACCAGCCATATCTGTATACTACTAGAGATGAGTGTGTCCAGAAGGTAAAGGACGGTAAGCCGATTCATGGCCATCCAGATCTGAACCAGCCATATCTGTATACTACTAGAGATGAGTGTGTCCAGAAGGTAAAGGGGCGGTAAGATTCATGGCCATCCAGATCTGAACCAGCCTGATCTGTATACTACTAGAGATGAGTGTGTCCAGAAGGTAAAGGACGTGTAAGCGATTCATGGCCATCCAGATCTGAACCAGCCATATCTGTATACTACTAGAGATGAGTGTGTCCAGAAGGTAAAGGACGTGTAAGCGATTCATGGCCATCCAGATCTGAACCAGCCATATCTGTATACTACTAGAGATGAGTGTGTCCAGAAGGTAAAGGACGTGTAAGCGATTCATGGCCATCCAGATCTGAACCAGCCTGATCTGCATGTATGATTTAACTCCAAGCCTGAGGCTTTGCTTGGCTTGTTGACGAGCTTACAACATGAATAGTACGGTATCCTCTGAGAGAGAGTGCAGACTCTTGTTGGTTCCAGATGTGGGGGGTCTCAGGCTGTCATTAATTCCATTGGTGGAAGTGCTGTGTCCTTGACCTTTGTAACCCAGTGACATTGCCTCATTATTTAAAATGAAAATGAAGCTGTCAAAAACTGATGGGTCATTTTCAAAATTCATAAAACTCTTTTAAAGATGGAAGACACAGCTTTTACACAGACTTCATCAAGCTTGAAGGTAAAAACTATCATCATGAATCTTGAAAGTGTTATTTTGTATCTTTCATTTATTTACCACAAAATGATAGCATATTTCTAAAACATTATTATGTATATAGCTTTCAACAGGTAAAATTGTCTATAATAAACATCAGCTACTAAGTCCAGAACATCTTTTGATGACACCAGCATAAAGAGGAGTGTTTCATGTATTATCATGAATTAATTAGAGTAGTCAATTAACACGTAGTAACGGTTAGGACAATAGTTAAGAACGGTTTGGACAGGAATGGTAGCGGGCTGGACATAAGCCTTAAACAGTTTAATTCAACATAGAAACAGGTTACATGAAAGGAAAAAAATTATATCATTTACTTGAACTGCTAACCCTATTTTGGACAGACAGTGAAATGTGTAATAGAAATTGTAACTTGTAACTAATATGACATGTTTTCTTCCATGCTGTGGTAATGGTTTGGACATTTGTTATATCAATATAAAACTTGTGAATGAGTTTAGGCTTTTGAATAAAACAAACTGTAGCTTTTAAAGAATAGAAAAACATACCTGTCTAGATTGAAAATCACTTATAATCTAAAGAAGAGTGCAATTGGGGAGCGAGAATTGAATGAATAGTAACGGTTGTGACATTACTGGTAGCGGTCAGGACATCAAGCGTAACAAACAAATGTTATCCCTCTAAAATGTTGCGAAAAGATTATGTTCTGAAAGGTACTGCAAAACTATGATACTGTACACATGGTCATGCTACACAGGCCACTGAATAGATGTCATTTTTCTGTTGATATTATGGTGCAATATTAGTCTCCATGAAATATACTTCTTTCATTCACTCGGATACCTTTTTAGCTTTTTGTTGATAGTGAGATGGTAACACATATTTATCAATTACAAAGGCCAACATATTAGCACCTAACAATATTCTAAGTAAATGGTAGCCATACATATCTCACAAAGTCAAAACAGACTACACAAAACAATCTTTAAAGGTTGGAATACAATTAAGTTATTTACCGTTACTACATTTTGTCCAAACCGTTACGTTAATTCCATAAAGACTATACATCTTATAGAAAATAGAAACTTAGCGTTGATAAATTTGTTTTGGGTTTTATTATTAAAAGCAGATAGATAGGTAAAAAATAAATTTATTATCACACAATAGAACATATTCTTCAAAATTGAAATTCATTAAAGAAATGTCCCGACCCGTTACTATTATTAGTCCAAACCGTTACTAGAGACTGTGTTTTTATGCTACTACATCAAAACCCCCTTTGAACAGTACAAGTCCATGCTTAAACTATCTTAACTCTTAAAGATATTATAAATTTGTTATACTTCAAATATTAATGAATAACTTTTGAAATGCAAATCATTTTGTCCTGACCGTTACAAGGACTGTCCAAACCGTTACTTTGCAGAATGGTAGCGGTTTGGACAATAACGGATCAAAAGACAATTTAATAAGAAAAAATCTTAAATAAAAATGAATGATCCTAAATGATTTCAAATGACATGCCTTCCACCTCTTCCATTTCTGGGCACCATATCCATTGAAATTTAAAAAAAAAAAAGAGATACATATTTGACACAAAAATACATTGAGTAGCAGTCTGGACAATTAAGGTTGACACATAACATTTATACTTATTCGGCGGTGTCAATTTTCTTCAAAATGAATTGAATCTCTATATTTTCATCTGCTGTCACATCCACAGGGGGCTAGCTCAAACAGACACAGGAAGTAGTATTACAATCCAGCTCAGGGAGATATTATTGCAGGAATTATATACACTGAAAGTAGCAGTCAGGACACAGAATCACAGGACAAGCATGTTATAATTTGTAGTAAAAACTTTTTATGTTAAAAAAAAGAAATTAAATGCAGTCTGAGTATGCTTGATCAATCCTAATTGGCATAATATGAATTAATTTGTTTATTTTCATTTATATTTAGATTATTTGTGAACATTGATATTAGGACCCGTCACCTCGGACGAACAAATCTGCCAATTTTGACCCCAAAATGTGGATAAGTATAAATTTCAAAAGACAAAACTAATGATATACCACATTTACTGACTAGTAAACATCTAAATATGTTTTCTAGAACAAAAAAATCCTTTTAAACTCACAGATTTTTTTTTTTTATTCTGAGCAGGACAGAAAATCCTACCAATTTTGAAAATGACCCTGATAATCAACACTATGATGCGACTCACTCCCGACATTAAGGTGAGGAGTGATAAATATGGTTTTACACCATTGTTCCAGCAATATCACGGCAGGGGACACCAGAAATGGGCTTCACACATTGTACCCAAGTGGGGAATCAAAACTGGGTCTTAAGTGATGCATGGATGCTTTAACCACTAAGCTACCCCATGCGCCCCTTAACAACATAGGCAGTTCTCACTATACAAAATATCATTCATGGCCATCCAGATGAACCAGCCATATCTGTATACTACTAGAGATGAGTGTGTCCAGAAGGTAAAGGACGTGTGTAAGATTCATGGCCATCCAGATCTGAACCAGCCATATCTGTATACTACTAGAGATGAGTGTGTCCAGTAAAGTAAGCTCCAGAAGGTACCAGCCTGAAGGATGAGTGTGTCCAAAGGTAAAGGACGATTCATGGCCATCCAGATCTGAACCAGCCTGATCTGTATACTACTAGAGATGAGTGTGTCCAGAAGGTAAAGGACGGTAAGCCATTCATGTCCAGATCTCGAACCAGCCTGATCTCTATGGATGAGTATGTCCGGTATCCATCCAGATCTGAACCAGCCATATCTGTATACTACTAGAGATGAGAGTGTCCAGAAGGTAAAGGACGGTTGTAAGTCCAGATCTGAACCAGCCATATCTGATCTAGATATACTACTAGAGATGATTCATGGCCATCCAGATCTGAACCAGCCTGATATCTGTATACTACTAGAGATGAGTGTGTCCAGAAGGTAAAGGACGGGTAAGCGATTCATGGCCATCCAGATCTCTGAACCAGCCATATCTGTATACTACTAGAGATGAGTGTGTCCAGAAGGTAAAGGACATGTGTCCATTCATGGCCATCCAGATCTGAACCAGCCATATCTGTATACTACTAGAGATGAGTGTGTCCAGAAGGTAAAGGACGTGTAAGCGATTCATGGCCATCCAGATCTGAACCAGCCATATCTGTATACTACTAGAGATGAGTGTGTCCAGAAGGTAAAGGACGTGTAAGCGATTCATGGCCATCCAGATCTGAACCAGCCTGATCCGCATGTATGATTTAACTCCAAGCCTGAGGCATTGCTTGGCTTGTTGACGAGCTTACAACATGAATAGTACAGTATCCTCTGATGGGGGAGTGCAGACTCTTGTTGGTTCTAGATGTGGGGGGTCTCAGGCTGTCATTAATTCCATTGGTGGAAGTGCTGTGTCCTTGACCTTTGTAACCCAGTGACATTGCCTCATTATTTAAAATGAAAATGAAGCTGTCAAAAACTGATAATCAACACTCTGATACTACTTTTCAATGACATGAGTGAGTCAGTGAGTAAGTATGGTTTTACACCACTATTCCAGCAATATCACAGCAGGGGACACCAGAAATGGGCTTCACACATTGTACCCAAGTGGGGAATCAAAACTGGGTCTTCGGCGTGATGAATGGATGCTTTAACCATTAAGCTACCCCATCGCCCCTTAACAACATGAGCAGTTCTCACTATACAAATATCATTGAACACAACTCTGTTTTTGAGTGGTTTATATGACATAATTATGGTACATCAACATTGTTTGATCTATTTACACAAAGACAATATTCAGTGCTCATTCTTTAACCAATAAAACAGTTCTTAATCCACAACAGCTTTATAAACAAATCAACACCCATTTTGTTGTTGTTAACAATAAAATAAATAATATTATACCATTAAATTTACAAATCATGCATTCATATGATAATGAAAAATATGACATTTCTCAATAAATGCAAACATCATTATGTTTCATGATCAGTGTAGATCTGGTCTGTTATTTCCCTGGACAAGTTGTTTTCCAACAAGTGATGAAATAACTTCATAAATACATAATTTTCAAAGGCAATCTGTTCAAACCAAAGTATTGGCTGCAGGACATGAAATGAGCTGGCTTTGCAGGCAATCAGTCTGCAGTGGAGGATGACTCCTGTGAAAGTCACATCTGATTTTACACAGAATCATAAGTTTTATAAAGGAATGTTTTAAATAAGGTCAGTTTTACCCTACCTACATATTGCACAATTGCTTGCATGGAAGAAAGGGAAGATTCATTGACTCTTTAACATCAGTTGACCTCTCGGTAGAATAATGGTAAGGCTTTACTGATAACAGCTGATGTCAGTGAGGAAGGTTACAAGAGATGGTGTTGCTATGACAACAGTTCTATGTTGATGTCAGGCAATGGGTTACTGGAGGAGATGGTGTTGCTATGACAGCAGTCCTTGTTGATGTCAGATAGCAGGTTTCATGAGGAGATCTGTTGCTATGACAACAGTTCTGCATTGATGTCAAGCAACAGGTTACAAGAAGAAATTGTGTTGCTATGACAACAGTTCTGCATTGATGTCATTTAATGGGTTACTTGAGGAGATGGTGTTGCTATGACAACAGTTCTATGTTGATGTCAGGTAGCAGGTAACAGGAGGAGATGGTCTTGCTATGACAACAGTTCTGCGTTGATGTCAAGCAACAGGTTACAAGAAGAGATTGTGTTGCTATGACAACAGTTCTATCTTGATGCCTGGCAACAGGTTATAGGAGGAGATGGTGTTGCTATGATGACAGTTCTGCGTTGATGTCAAGCAACAGGTTACAAGAAGAGATGGTGTTGCTATGACAACAGTTCTATCTTGATGCCTGGCAACAGGTTATAGGAGGAGATGGTGTTGCTATGACAACAGTTCTGCGTTGATGTCAAGCAACAGGTTACAAGAAGAGATTGTGTTGCTATGACAACAGTTCTATCTTGATGCCTGGCAACAGGTCATAGGAGGAGATGGTGTTGCTATGACGACAGTTCTATGTTGATGTCAGGTAACAGGCTACAGGAGGAGATAATGTTGATCTTGTCCTCCAGGCGGAACAGGTCGTTGGTCATCAGCCTCATGTTGTGAGACACGTCCTACAAAGACAGACAGACAACATCATACTCACAGCTATATAGCATGACTATTAAAGACATTCTTGTATGACACCAAGTATGATCCTTTATCTATGAACCCCCTTGTGTAAAGTCCCTCATGTATGTTAAGGTGAAATGTATTCATTGTCACATTTACCATACCATGTTTTCATAATATTTGTTTTGTATACATGGAAGTCCAAACAAAAACACTTTTGAAGATGTCCTTAATTTTAGCATTATTATAAGACCTATGGTTTCAGTTTTAAGAGGGAGACACTTCATATGGTCCCTAGATTGATTTACACAGCAGGACCTGGTGCGATACCACACATTCTTCATTTTGGAGTGAGTGAGTGAGATTAGTTTTACGCCGCATTCAGCAATATTCCAGCTATAGGGTAGCAGTCTGTAAATAATCGAGTCTGGACCAGACAATCCCATGATCAACAGCATGAGCATCGATCTGCGCAATTGGGAACCGATGACATGTGTCAACCAAACCAGCAAGCCTGACCACCCGATCCCGTTAGTTGCCTCTTACGACAAGCATGGGTTACTGAAGGTTCATTCTAACCCGACCTTCACGGGTCTCATCTTGAAGAATCATATGACAGATTAGTCAGTCAATCAAGGGGTCTTGCACCATTTGATAGTAAATGCTTTTAAAGAATGTTTTGTTTATTTGGAACACAAACATTTTCCTCACAACACATTTTCATTCTAAGTTAATGCCTCACTTGATAGTTTTATTATTTCTATGGTAATAGTAAAGCTCTGGTCAAAAGAAAAAATATAGAATTGCTATTTACCTCTAATCATTGTACGACATAAAAAAAAGAAAGATGCATTTTGAATTAAAATTTAAATAAAGTTAAAAGTATTTTTTACATTTTATTACTTCCATTCCAAATAATATTTATGTGTCTCTTAACTAATGACAAGTGCTGGAGTGATTCATCAAATAATTGGTGGATCGATTGATCCCACTTGTGTCAACAATTATCAATGGGCTTGAGAGACTCTTTGGTATTCATAAAAAATAATAAACCTTATAATAGTGAGTGAGTGAGTTGGGTTTTACGCCGCTTTTAGCAATATTCGAACAATATCACGGCGGAGGACACAAGAAATGGGCTTCACATATTTTTACCCATGGTGGGAATCAACCCAGGCCTTCGGTGTGACAAGTGTAAGCTTTACCCACTAGGCTACCACTACCCCCCACCTTATAATAAAGTAAGGGAAAACAGCTCGATCCCCTCACCTGGATAGCAACATGTGACTTGAGCAGCTGCTGTGTGGTGTTGTTGATGTGCTTGGCAGCAGACATGTAGGCGTGGCTCCCCAGACTCACCAGGTGACTGTGGAACTGAAGATTTCTCTCCCCTACAAACACAATAGGACGAGGTGGGTGAGTAAGTTTGGTTTTACGCTGCTTTTAGCAATATTCCAGCAACATCACAGCGGGGGACACAAAGCATGGGCTTCACACATTGTACCGGGGCTTTGGTGTGACGAGCGAACACTTTAATCACTATGCCAGAGATGCCAAACCTGAATCCAATGAAAGCGGAGTCATGCTTGGCTGGAAGTCAGGCCCGAGCACAGAAGCTGCCAGTTTGGGGTGAGCGCGTGGTCAGCTCTGCCATTTTGTTTCACTTACATACGGGCTATGACATACATTTGGAAAAACTTCATGAAACTTCGTTGTCAATAACACCCAATATACACAATCGATATCCAAAAGATCACACACTAACCTTCTGAATGCTTTTACTGTTGTCAACTCAAATAAATCACTGGTGACTTACGAAACTGTATACTGTAAAAAAAACTTTTCAGAATTCTTTCTGAAAAAATCGGAGTTTTTTAAAGACAAATCGGACAGCGGATTTCGAATTTGAAAATCAGAGTAACTCCGCCAAAATCAGAGTGTTTGGCATCTCTGCTAGGCTACCCCATTGCCCCTGTAAGACTGAGTGAGTTGGGTGAGTATTCCAGCTATATCACAGCATATCAGCTTTATTTGGGACGAGAGTCTGAAGTGATGCAGGTCGCAGATGTTCACCTCTTTGTACAGCCATGGTACCAACAAACCAGGAATATGACTGGGGCAAGCTGGGATCTGAACCAATGACCACAGGTTTCGAGTGTGCCCAAGGGACATTACTCTGCCCAGCTACTTGCAGTGCATTTTCCAACTGGGCCATTTGTGTACTAATAAAAAGCATTGAAAAATGTAATTTTTAGAGTAAAATTGATATTTTATACTTATCCTGACTCATGCTTATTGCTTGTCTTCTTCTTCTTGCGAACATAGTGGAACACGTGTATCTCCCAATTGAAGTTCCCTTCAATTAAAAAATCACTAATTAGCACTCACCATGAGTTACCTCCCTTACATAAGCTCGGGAACGAGGCGCGGTTGCCACCTCAACCCATGTGCCTCACTCTCTCCTCATATACTGAGCCCAACACTTGAATTTCCAGGGAAATCCAAAGTGTTATGTGGGGAGGATGGGAGGGCTTACCTCATGAGTCAGGATAAGTATAAAATATCAATTTTACTCTAAAAATTACATATTTTTCCTTATCCTGACTCATGCTTATTGCTTGTAGAATCCGACGGAAAAGGAGGTGGGAATATATAATACTTTGGATTTTAATAATTAGTGATTTGAACTGTGATGATTGTAATAACCCTATGGGAACTTCATAAAGGCACTGAACTGATGAATTCCTGCTGCTAACTTATCAGCTGCCATATAAAGGTTATTACAATGTACTATTATGATAAAAGTATATATAACATTAATACAATGCTTAAGACTAATAGACTTAAGCTTGTTAATATGATAGCATAAACTCCTTAGAGTTTGTTAGCTAAAATACTTTTATGATATAAACATAGTACTGAGCTTAAGATATGATTAAACTTAAGCTAAATATATAATAGCAAAACTCCTTAGAGTTTATTAGCTAATATACTTTTATGAAGTAAACATAGTACTAAGCTTAAGATATGAATAAAACTTAAGCTATATATATAATAGCAAAACTTCAGAGAGTTTGCTAGCTAATATATTTTATGATATGAGTATAGTACTGTGCTTAAGATATAATTAACTTAAGCTACCTAAATAGCCAAAAACTCCGTAGAGTTTTTGTTAGCTAATACATTTTATAATGTAACCATAATGCTTAAGATATGATGAAACTTAAGCTAAATATATAATAGCAAAAACTCTTTAGAGTTTGTTAGCTAATATACTTATATGATATAAACATAGTACTGAGCTTAAGATATGAATAAACTTAAGCTATATATATAATATAGCAAAACTCCGTAGAGTTTGTTAGCTAATACATTTTATAATGTAACCATAATGCTTAAGATATGATGAAACTTAAGCTAATATATATAATATAAAAAAAGATATGAATAAACTCTTTATATAATAGAGTTTGTTAGCTAATATACTTATATGGTATAAACATAGTACTGAGCTTAAGATATGAATAAACTTAAGCTACATATAATGTAACCATAGTAAGCTTAAGATATGATTAACTTGAGAATTTGTTAGCTAATATATTTTTATGATAAGATAATAAAAGAACTTAAGCAAAATACTGTGCTTTTAGATATAATTAGAAATCTTAAGCTTACATATATAATATACCTGACCATATCGGATCTCCAGAATTAACCCTCCATTATGTTATTTCAATAGCACTTGTCGAGTAGAGCAAGTGTAGATGTTAACGCTCTAATATCATGAGGATTAGAAGCTCTTGGAGGGTCGAGTCCTGCAGTCTTGTAGGCACGTAGTATGACAGTTCTGATCCAAAAGGAGATAGTAGTACATGAGACTTCAGTCTGCGTAGCTTGTTGATAGAGGAAATAAATCTCTTGAATTTTTCCCTCCTGTTTGGCTCGGTGGAGATATATTTTCAGTGCTCTACTGGCCATCGTGATAGATTCATTGTATCATGAGGTCCAAGTATATCAACAAAGTGTGTTCATAAACCTCACTTGTGAGGTGTTGGAACACTATAATCAGATCCCAAGTTGGAGCGTGAAACTTCCGTTTTAATCCTCCAATCGGAAAGTTTGTAGCAAGGCAAGTAACTGGGTTTAGGTTAACTTGACGCCCGTTCTCAGTTATGACAGAGCTATTGCTGCAAGATAGGTGTCGACAAGTTGAGCCTTTTAAAATCTTAGTCTGACGTAGATAACATAAGTAGTCAGCCACTTGAGGATGAGTAGCATATCTAGCTGTAAATCCTTCCTTTGCAGCATAATTGACAAAACTTTGCCATTTGTCATCGTATAAGTTGCAAGTTGAGTTACGCAGGGCAAGCTAGACTGCTTTGCGCTCTGGCTGAATAACTTGTTATTCAGACACGCTTGATACAATCCATAATGCGAAGTTGGAATATTTCTGGCTTTCCGTATGGCGCTTGCGGATGTATTAACAGATTCAGCACTCTGTAAGATGTAGTATTGGTTGTCCAATTTCTTGAATAAGAGTTGGAAACCACATTCTCGCTGGTCAGTAGGCGCGACCAAATTCAGATGGAGGCTCTGCGTTTGACTGATTTTGAGTAAACTTGTGAGATTAACACTGGTGGCGAAAAGCGTCTTGCTGTTGAGTCCTTCCCACGATATGCTTAGTGCGCCTGTTGCCAATGCTAGTGGGTCTGGAACTGGCGTCTGAATGTTGTCAGTTGTTTGTTGAATCGAGTGGCAAATAGGTCTATTAGTGTAGTTCCTATTTCCTTGATAATTTGAGTGAATATCTCTGTATGGAGCATTCATTCTGTCGGCGATGGTATGTGTGGCCCAGAGAGAGCGTCTGCTATCACATTCTTTGCTCCTGGAATGTGATATGCTCTAACATGTATGTTGAGATTGTCGATTAAATCGAACAATTGAAAACATAGAGTCGATAGGTTCGGGGACCTGGTTGAGCTTAGTTTGTTCACATAAAACGCCACTGTCGAATTGACTGTGTGAAACATCCACTGGGTATACTGTAGTAAGTTGCTCCAGTGCATTCAGGCGTTTATTACTGCTTGCATCTCTAGCAGATTTATGTGTAATTTGCTCTCTTGATTGCTCATAGCCCTGATGCCGTCCTGTTGGCAAGCTGGGCTCCCAACCTTGTAGTGACACATCTACGAGAAAGTGTTATCGATTCCAGCTCTATTAACGAGGACGCCTATTCAAACATTCGATCTCTTGGTCCACCATAGTAGATGAGGTTTGACCTGAACCGGTAAATTGAATGGTAGAAATTCGTCTAGATGCGAATTGAAGATGACTTGTAACGGATGTAATTGTAGTCTGCCTCTGCCTGTCATGTCTTGAGCTGCCACTGTCGTAGTGGTAGCGGAGAGAGTAAGGCTTGTGGAAATGACTGTTGGATCTTGATCCATGGTTCTCCGGTACAATTATACGATTCTGCGCCGTTACAAATAAAAAAAACCTAGAATTAGCAGATCTTGCGAAGGTTCTAGGTCCAACTTAAGTAGGTTTACTAATCATCTAGTTGTGTTAGTAGCTTGATGATGAATTCAACTGTAGTCTGAGACGTTATGGATTTGGATCCACTTGTATCCCGTCGTCGAGGTAAATTCGCTGCAAAGTCCTTGACGATGTAGGTGCACAACCAAGGGTGACTGCCATCGTTGAACTTTATGTAAAAAACCGCCTGACTGCCGTGCCCTCGTCCTTACTTGACAGGGGAGGTCTCTAACCTCAAGAAGGCCGCCCAATCATGAAGGTTCAGATTAGCTGGACTGTAAGGAGGCTTGCTCGTTCACTGATACATTGTTGTCACTTGCAACCTATGTCTTGAACTGTGAACTATGATCGACCTCTGCGTAGGGCGTTGTCCATCTCGGTCCAATCAGAACAAGGCATTTTGATTCTGTAGAGTACCCGCGCTGTGATGTCACCGGTGTAGCAGGAAAAGGAACCTTGTATAATATAGTGCCGATGTTGATATTACAACAATCGTCGGTCTTCCCCGTAGCTTCCCGAAGTTACCCGAGAGACCACGTGTTTCGAGGGTTAATGGTAAACGCGTCAAACCTCCGGCGCGAAATACCTCGCTCTGTAATATTAATGCTGGGTAGGTTATTTTCCAGGCTGTCGTGAAAGTAACTTCAGTCTTGAAGATAATTCCGACTTCCTTATATAAGGTTCAATAAACTTTCAAGTTGTCAGCTTGTAGACTGTTAAAGCTGAACTTGTTGTACATATTTCTTCTCAGGAAATCGTAGACGATTATGAGTTTTACTCGCTGTAACAAGGCTGCTGTTCAATTTCGTTGTTGAATTGTCTGCAGAACTGCGTAATGGTCACGCATGTAGATAATCGTATCATAGTCCGGAATTGCATACCTAGCAATCTATACCGAAATGTTGATTACTGTGAAGGTCTACGAACGTCGTTGATGCCCTTGATGTAGGTAGTCGGCTTGAAGATCCTTAATTAGGCTCTTCATCTGTTGATAAATTAATACAGCGACGTACTGTGTTGTAAATAGCCTGTGCAATTGTCTTCGCGTAGGCTTGTAGACGGCATATGGCATACAGTTGATAGACAACTCATGTGATGTCTTGAACGGACTGACGAGTGGCTATATATGACGAGTGGCTAGTATATGGAGACCTTGGAGGAGACTTCCTCGGCGAACGCCGTGGACTTCGACGAAGATCTCGAAGTATCCCTTCTAGATCTTCTGGGTGAAGTAGACTTGGAGCCACTTAGCCTTCGCGACCTTTGCGAAAGTATCGAGTCAGAGTCCGATCAATATATGAGCGCTTGCTTCGCGAACGACCTCTGTGTTCTACAGGGTGTGGGCTCGGCGGAGCGCTCCTTCTCCGCGATGTCCCTCGCAACTGGTGAGGCTCTAGCTCCTTCGCGGAGGCGGCCTGGGACTTCCTTAGCGAAGTGTCTAGAGTCCGATCAATATATGAGCACTTGCTTCGCGAACGACCTCTGTGTTCTCCGATGGTCTTCGCTGGCGTTGAGGGTGTCCTCTCTGTGATAGTGACGGGACCCTCAGTTATAATCTCCGGCGTCAGCGTAGGCATCTCTGGTTGCATGTTGATCTGCGCTGAAGTGACGGTAGCCGATACTAGTCACTTCTTATGACGTACATCTGGAATGATAATCGGAATGTCATCATCATATAAACATAATTCTGAATATCAGAAGCAAAGTTTTTTTAGTAGCCTTCGTGGATTTCCCTTTTGACGAAGCTGTAGACCTGGGGGTTCGGAGCGTACGTTGAGACGACGTGGAAGCTCTTCTAGTCTTAGACTGTGATGAAGGAACGTCCTGGGATGCAGGTCGCTTCTAGGATATAGCGGACTGCTTCCCACGCTTATCCCCCGAAGGTAACCCAGGATATATCTGACTCCGATCTATTAGCCATGACTGAAGATTGTTTCCGAGATTTATCTGCCTTCCGTCTCAAAACGGAACATAAATATTTATCAAAGGCAGAAATTGGTAAATTAATACATAATTTACAACGAGAAACAATAGAACATGGAGTAATGCAACTAGGGCATTTTAAATGTGGATCGGTAGCGGAATAACGTAGTTTACAACTTGTGCAGATTCTCATTAACGTAAACTGCTGAACAAACACGGCGAACCGTGAATAAAACAGCAGAACACGACTAATAATCAATGCAAGTTGAATAAGGATACTAGTTACACCTCTATAAATGAATATAAGAGGTACTAAACTAAATATAAATAAAGGATATAGTGTGTCGGGAGACACAGGTGCTCTCACGTCCAGCTCACTGGGCGAAGGAGAGAGTGAGGCACATGGGTTGAGGTGGCGCCCTCGTTCCGCGGCTTATGTAAGGGAGGTAACTCGTGGTGAGTGCTAATTAGTGAACTTCAATTGGGAGATACACGTGTTCCACTATGTTCGCAAGAAGAAGAAGACAAGCAATAAGCATGAGTCAGGATAAGGAAAAATATAGAAGTCTCTATTCTCAGTCAATAATTTTTGGGTGTTACTCATGATTGTACGTGAGAGAGGTTTTATGCCACTTTAGCAATATTCCAGTAATATTGTGGCAGGGGACACCAGACATTTGCTTCACATGTTGTACCTTGTGGGGAATTGAACCTGGGTTTTCGATGTGCAGAGCGAATGCTTTAACCGCTAGGCTACCCTACAGCTCATACTCATGACAGTATTCTTATGTCAGTAGAAGCTCCCACACATTCTATATATTCAGACACAGGTGAACAACATAGTGAAAGGCTACACAAAGGATACACTACTTCCTAATGTCCAACTTACTGAGCTTTCTGTGCAGCAGCCTGAAACAACAAAATACATATGTCAAATAAATAAATATACATCTGGTCCATATTTGTAATAAAAATATTTTTGGTTTAGTTTGCTCTGCAGTGGGCAACATCCCAGCCATATCAGTTGAGTTTAGCCAGGACAAACCGTTGGCTAAAGTACTGTCGGAAATAGAAAAAAACTTTTTTCGCATTCATATGTACAATATATGTAGTTAATATGTGTAAGTGTGAAATATCTGTAAACTTAGTTCTGCCTAACTACAGCCCCAGTGGTAGGGAGATAGGAAACGTGGAAAAAAGACTTTACTGAAGAGAGATTAGTGCAGAAATGAGAAATGCGTTTTATTTCTAAGTCCAAAGCGACTTATTTGGAACAGGCCATGGCTTTATGCAAATTACTCTGCGATGATATTATATTACAAAGGACAGTTTTTAAGTGTCCATTTGGAAATTAAACTTAGCTTCATTATAAACCATAGCTGACGTAAAATATAATAGGTTTAATACTGAAACTATGAAGGATGTAGCTGCCGTGGAGTCTCATTATCACTGTAAAAAGAAACAGGTAGGAGGGGTCGTCTCAAAAGCAAATCCAGGACGGGTGTCGCAGACGGTGGTTGGGGTCGGGCTGGGGGATAGAGATATAAGCTGAGATAAGATAATCCTTTAGGGGGATTAAACTGGGAAGCAAACGACATGTCATAACAATTTACAAATAATATCCAGTCCTCTCGATCTTCGGGTGGTCATGCGTCCTATATATTTTGAGACATTTAATACGATGGCTGATTTAAGCATTTCCATGGGTATCATACCCTTTTATGTATCTCAACATAAACTTTAAGATCAATAGATGAGACATATTCAACACATATGAAAAAACATAAAATATCTTTGAGATGACCCCTTGTGCTTGTAGGCAGGACGTGCATTTCATGCCAGATGAGTCGACGGTCCATCGTCATACCTGGCTAAGCGACCTAATTGCCATCTATAGTCCGATCTATTGTTTTCAGCAGCTATTTGTATTTTTTCTAAGTTTTGCCCGATTTTATGAGTAAACATGCTTTTCTGGAGATACTATTACGCATCCCACAGAATGCCCAGTTAGGCCGATGTGGGTTATTTCGATATATGGTATTCGTAAATTTGTCAATTTTAGGGATACAGAGTAACAGCCTAAAAACAGTTTTTTTCTATTTCCGACAGTACCTTAGTAGATCAGTGTGAGTGAGTGATATGCCTCTTTTAATAACATTCCAGCAATACCACAGCGGGCGACACCAGAAATGGGCTTCACATATTGTGCCCATGTGGGGTATCGAACCTGGGTCTTCGGTGTGACGAGCGAACACTTTAACCACTAGGCTACCCCCCCCCTAATAGCAATAAATCAGTGGGACACAGAGTGTACAATGAAACATATGGAGTCAAAAGTTATGTCAAGAACCCAGTTTAATCAGCTTAAATACAAACATAAGAATGTTGACAATGGACCAGTGAATCTATAGTGCAATCTGTAAAGTAAATGTGAAATAACTAGATGTATACTTCACACTTAACTTGATAGATTCTATACTTCATTGATTCTGAATAGAACAGAACATTGGGAGGCCACACTGCAGCAACATACTGGCAAGCTTGACAGCTACAAATATGTAACCAGCAGGTAGTTACAGGGTAGACAATTTAAGCCTGGACACTCACAGTATAAAGGTATACAAGCGAGTCCTGTAATTCTGCGCGTCCGGTAATTCTGTGCAGCTGCAATAGTGTACTTCCGTATCGACGGTTAACATCATCGGCTACGACACTAACGCTTGAAATCAGGACATTTCTACAAGGGACTGGCTTTTAATCACTAAAGGTAAGTAAATAACAGTAATTGACAGATAAATTTACATTTTTATGAAAATTCGTTTTCTTCAGACTTTTAAACCTTTTTCTTCATTATTCATAATTGGATTTAATATGAAACACTCTTCCTTAAAAATAATCTGGCCCTAATATGCTTCCATACTTCGGATCTCCAGCTGGATGTTATGCGCATCAGTTGCTGCGCAGAATTACCGGACAGCAAGCGATGTCGTCTGAACGACGGTAAGGTCAACCGTATGGCATAATGCAACGTTAGAATCTTATAGTCGTCAATAAAACTTATATTTCCAGGTAAATATGATGTTTAGTCACGTAAACCACAAAAAATAAGAGATGGTAGTTGCCGTGTTGCAATCGATGTGCTTAGTAGTGGTGTTCCGATTAATTGAAATAATCGAAGATTGGTCGCAGTGACCAAACGACCAAGCAATCAATCACAATTTCTCATAATCGAACATAAAAGATTTTGGAACTACTGTTTAGTCTTTGAAAAACTTGACAATGGAACATATCTTAGAAGTTGTCAGGGCCTGAAAACGTGTTTAATTCTTAGAAAACTCACTTCACTAACTGAAAAGCCATGACTGAATGTTTCTCTAAGACTCAAGGAAGTTTATGTTCATGATATATTAGTCATCACTTTAAAGTAGCAAGTTGCATCATGTTATACATATCTCCAATAACAACCTGGATAGGAAAATCTGAAAAATGACGCTAACCAATTTTCTTCGATTATTGTTCGTTGGTAATGAAGCAATCATCAATTGTGAGATTTCAACCAATTCCCAACACTAGTGCTTAGGTGCGGTGGAATTACCGGATGGCATAGTATGTGTATCTCATCATGTCAAATATCCATATCTGTCTGTCTGTCTGAGTTACCTGACAAGGCTCACAGTTTCCTAGACACATGCCACACATGAGCGTGTGAGCAAGTTGGAGATTTTGTACCGATTTGTGCAATATTACAGATTTATCAAGGGACTAGAAACATATTTTACAGATTTTACTTGGAAATAAAACTGATGACCTTTGGCATGAACACGAGTGTGTTTAACTATGCAATGTATATTTACAAGGTCAAGACCAGAGAATCTAGTGACTGATATTACCTTTGTTAGGTTTGTTTGTTGTTTAACACCGCACTCAGCAATATTCCAGCTATATGATGGCAGTCTGTAAATAATTGAGTCTGGACCAGACAATCCACTGATCTACATGATCTCACACCATCAACGAGTTCCCTCCTTCTAACCACTCAAACCATTAATACACTGATGACTGCCGCGTTATTCCCCAATTTTAACCTGGAATCCCCACGGTACGACCGCCAACACAGGTTGCTGGGTACCGGTTCTAACCATGAATCCCAATGGTATGCCAACATATACATTGTTGGGGACAAGTTCTAACCTTGAACACCACAGGTTACTGAGAACTTGACACAAAGGAATACATAGAGGATATTATATTCGTGCCCATGTCATACTATGTTTAGGACACGAGTGCCTAAATGTTGGTATTTCCCGAGCGAGAGCGAGGGATATACCGATATTTAGGCACCAGGGTCGTAAACATAGTATGACATGGGCAAGAATATAATATTCTGTTTATTACCGAAGTCGTCAAATTGAGGAAAATAAACCCAAATCTACTTTCAAACATAGGCTGTCAACCTGCCGTCGCTGCATGTAGAACGCAACGTCACAGAAGAAACGTGACGTCATAGCATTGTTCATAACGTCACGTCACCATGACAAAGTGATATTTTGCCCTAGGGCATCGTATGAAAAATATGAACCCCGATATTTTTGCCCTCGTAGGTAATAAAAGCACTTAAGTGAGTTGCTGCTGAAGCAAGTCAATGTGTCTTACGTGTCATATTTTGGTTTGCTTGTCACCATGCGGGTTGTGGTGAGGATCGGCAGCTGTGTAGGGTCACTCCCTTGGATGTTCTCCCCTCGGTTTCTGTCAACTGACAAGTGAAATCTGTTTAATAGTCTGGCTGACAATTGTCCTGTTGGCATCTTGCAGATCTTATAACAGCACATCTGTAACCATGGCTACCAGTATCTCGCTACCCTAAAATGATACAGTTACTGAGCAAGAGTTATTTCAGTATATAATCAATATTGGACCAATGAGACAACTGTTAGTAAACAAGAACAACAATACACAAATAGCCAAGACTGACCATCTGATCCCCATTTGTGTTGAATCTTGTGACAAGCATGAGGTATTGTGGATCTCCATTCCGACCTCGATTTTGTTCAAGGCAGTTGTCATTATCATTATCATTATTTTAACTTCAGAAAGATAAATCCTGAACAGGAATACTGTATATAAAATGCAACTTGAACAATATGCCTGAATCAGGTTTAGACATACTTATAGCCAACGGGACTAGAGAGTCTGCATGCCATGCATTGCTGGCTTACATGTACAGCTTGCTTGTGTGATGATGTCACAAATGATGTACAGTACAACCAGAAATTATTGAGAATTTAAATATTGTAAATTTTAAAAAAAAATATCACTCATTACTCACGTATTAAATGTGAATATTAGCAGAACATAACTCCAGATTCAAAGACAGGTGAACAGTCAGTATTTTGTCAAGTCACCATAGGCAGCAATGCAGGCTTCAATGCGGCGGGGCATACTACTGATCAAAGAAGTTAGAAAGTCGTGGTCCATGCTGTCACAATATCGGACCACCTCTTCTTTCATTTCAGCAATATTTGTCAGATTTTTCTTATTGACACTTTCCTTCATAAGTCCCCAAACATTTTCTATTGGATTTAGGTCAGGGTTATAGCTTGGCCAATCTAATAATGTCATATTTTGGGTCCAAAACCAGGCCTGTGAATGCTTTGAACGATGTTTTGGGTTGTTGTCCTGCTGGAAAATCCAAACATTTTCATAGAACACGTGAGCAGATGGAAGTAAATGTCCATCGAGAATATCTGTGTACCGCTCACTGTTCATATTCCCTTCAAATACACAGAGGGGCGTTGCCCCTAACACAGATATGCCACCCCACACGTTAAATTTCGGACTGTACATTGGGCGCTGATACAAAGGTTTTTCAGTTTGTTTGGTCCAGAACTTCAGTGTATTAGGAAACAGCCACACAGAACTTTCATCTGAGAAAATCACATTGTCCCAGTTAAAATTTCTATGCTGTAAGCACCAGTTCAACCTTCGCTCCTTTGTTCAGGTTTCATGATCGGTGATGGAATTCCTCGACTTTTCTGCCAACCCATTGCATGCAGCTCAGTTCTAATTGTCTCCTTACAGACAGCCACAGTTCCTCTATCAATCATACCCAGCCTTAAGTTTTCTAAACTCCTTCGTTTGTTTTGAGAAACAAGAATACCAAGCCGCCTCCTGTCACTGACAGTCAATTTTCTGGGCCTACCTGCACCTCCCTGGTGCTCAATGCCATATCCATTTGCATTATTTTTCAAAACACGATAAACAGTGGACAAAGGGATGCCTGTTCTACTTGAAATCATTTTAGCTGATCTGATGTGCTTGTTATAATACTCTAAAATAAACTTCCTCTTCTCTAAATCATCCATACTGAGGATCACTGAAAATGTCGTCTGCTAGCAAGTAAACAAAGGGGGATAACTCTTCACAAACTAATGAAAAAGGATTAACGGAGTTGTCTCTCTTGAATGAAACTAAGCACTTGATAGCTGGTCAAGGTTGTTTATACTTGAAATCCAATTAAACATATTCCTAAAATTCTCAATAATTTCTGGTCATACTATAACATGTTTGCATGTAGAACAAGGGGGATAACCTTGTATTCCATCCTCAGTGAAAAGAAGCGCCATCTTTCAAGGCAGGTAACTCCACACTCACCTTTCAAGGCAGGTAACTCTTGGTCTCCCTGTAGACTGGTGTCCACCTCCTCCTCGGACTCTGATGCCTCCCCAGATATTACTGTTCCCTGAGGGATGTCATCTGGTATCTGGAAATAACCACCAGGCTCAGATTTGAAGTGAGTCACATACCATGGACAATTTCTTGAAACATCACCATGTTCTAATTATTACAAATTTCAAACCAGATATTTTAAAACTATACTGATACAATTATTACAAGATTCATTAATCTGATCAATCTGAATTTATTAATTCATTTCTGCGTGAAGATCTGACCACCCCTTCAAATGAAGTCTTATCAATCAATATACATAAACAGCCAATCTATATTTTCTGTGTGAGTAAACAAAGCATTTTGACCATGAAGACTATGTATTCTGGAATATGGTCTCTGGAAGAGCGTATTTGATTTCTGCATCCCCAAAATTAGATCCATCTAACACATTCAGTTTTAACTTATTATTATTTTTAGGAATATTTAATACAACTTTTCATTTCTGAACCCATGGTATCAACACCCAAGTAAGATTTTCTTTTAGAAAATATATGTTTCCTGAGTTGGATTTCTCCTTGGGCAAGTCCAAATTTACTAGCCAGTGTGCTGTTGTACATGATCTCAGTGTTAAGGTGATTGTAGCTCCATACCTTAACATAGACTTCCGACAGTCGCTGCTACGATTGCTTTGTTAACCCTGGCTGACAATACCTGGGTACCTGTTGTTTGTGTCATGAGTTGAGTACCACATGTCTGATTGAAGATCATTTGATCAGATACCCAGCAAAAGGTACTGAAATACATTTAATAGGATTTTATTGTGCACACACTGAAGTCGACTGAACCTTTACCTTTATTCAAACATATCACAAGTTAAATTCAAAATCAACATGTGGACTGTTGTAAAGAAATCCAAACAATACTGACTTGGAGTACTAACAGTTAAAGTACTGTCGGAAATGCTAGAAAAATGCTTTTTGACTTATATTTAAAATTCAGAGGTATTACAATTACTTAAATAACAAATATCACTTCAAGAAACATCTACCTAATGTAGACCGAGAGAATAAATTTTGAGACATGCCCTAAAATGTGTTTTTACTGATGAAAATACCCAAAACTTAGAAAAATAAGGGGTAGTGGGACGTTATTCAATACAAACATTAATTGCCTGTGTTACGTCATCAGCATCCATGGTATCGACAGGTGAAATTGACACCTGAGCACACGCTCGGGCGAGGGGTCATCTCAATAGATGTTTTCTGCAAAATGTTGAATATGTGTACATATAGTATACGTATCGGTTATGTAAGGGATCATTTGTGTATGTGAGTTTGTTTTGAAATAAACATACGAATTACTGTACATTGGAAAGAGTCCAATCACTTGTGTTATCTTATCGATTGATTGTAGAAATATGCAACGTTTTAATAAATGTTTTGAATGTCAACAGTATATTTCATTGAAAACATATGGATGTAATTCGGTCAGTTTAATCTAGTTGTGAAAATTGGCCAAAGATTTAACGAAGTCACTGGTGTAGCTTCTTTAGAATATGTATATTTTTCTTCTCATAATGTTTGTAGACCGCCCGTCTAAGCACTCCCTTGTCAAAGTTGTCAAGGATGGTTTTACATCCCGGTTTTGCATTTGAGACAGTCCCTGTCTTGTCTGATTTGTTTACAATATTGTAAACTTGTTGGTAAGACATGCCAACAGCTCTACAAGTTCTGTAATAAACCCTTTCTAAACTAATGAAAGGTTTACCTCTGTCTTTTTTAAGCAGAAAAAACCTATAAACCTTTGCAACAATCGACTGCAAATCGTTGGCCATAGTGGACGCTGTGATAAAGATGTGCATGCATGACGGGAAACTTATTTATCAAGACTTAACATTTATAATAATATTTCTTCAATAAAGAAACGATAATTAAGTAAAGTAACACAAACATTGAATATTTATTTGTTTAGGAAAAACGTTAATTCACATTTTTACACCACCTGTATTATTAGCATAAATGTAAAGACTATTTCAGATTTCTGTTGTTGAACTCTGAAAAAATATTAAGTTGTTGTTTTGGTACCAAATTCTCTCCTGTAAACTGCCCTTTAAATGCATGGGAATGTTAAATAGATTGAAATAAAAATTAGGTAGACAATAGGCGAGTTGATATATTGACAACATAGTACATTTATCACCTTTATAAAGATATTAAGGTTAAAAAGCATTTTTCTAGCATTTCCGACAGTACTTTAGTCTCTGAAATGAACATATTTTACAGAAAATAAAAGGTTTTACATTAAAATCATAAATACAATAAAAAGGAGTCTAGAGACTTTCTTCATTTTGCTTCAGGATCTGTACCACACACTAAATACTTACTCTGAAATTGTGGGTTTATGGCAAATTTTTTCACTATACAGTGATTGACTAACAATGTGTTCAGGTTGTCCAGTGAGGGACCCAGGTGCCCCTGTTCACAACTGTCTGACTGCTATGACTGTCGTAAGTCTACATGTTATGGTATGGGGGATACGATCACTGTAGCGCGCTAAGATCCTTTGTATAACAGAACCCAGGTTCTACACAGTACCCATCTGACCTGAGTACTCAAGTGACATGACAGTCACACTGAAACCAGTTTTATGAAGAAAAGAAAACGCCATATGATACATGCCAGGATATATATACAGGAAGGTAGCTTTGGCCTAAACTAAAACAGCAGGAGTTTGAAATGCACTGCTGAATAGGTTTGTTAGAAACGATGTTCGACACATTTCTGAACTGAATTTAGACATATTCATTTCCAATGAATCTGATAATAAGCGATGTCTCAATAAACATCATTATGACACAGATATTTTCACATCATGTGTTTATACTGCAGGAAGAACATCCATCAACAACCTGGCAACTTCTCGGCTATCAAGGTATCAAATGAACAGTGCTTGAATAGAGTACAATTGTTATGCACATTAAAGTACCATGTCTTCATCATCAGACTCAGATGCCTCTCCCTGAACGACTGTTTTATAATGTCCCTTCTCCATCATGTGCTCATATCTGTTCTGGTGCCCCGCCTCTTACATGGAGTTGCGTCCCTTCATTTGATTCATAATTCGTTTTAGGTATTATCAAAATAATGGGCACTTGTGGTAGTGCGCTGTATATTTTCATGCATATATTTTGTTACACAAATTCTTGTTGAAGGTATCTGTATACTTATCAATATAGACAGTGTTGGTAAAAATGTTCCACAGTGAAATTCGCATTTGTGTGAATCATATTTCGTTTGTCTTATTTTCTTTTACCGATAGATGGCGTGTTACTGTCACATCCGGTTTCAAAACAAGTGCTTCAGAAAATTGCGATATTTAAACGTTTGTGGTCCCTTTAGACATGTCTGATAGTTCATCTGAAGACGAAAGAGTTGAGTTTGAACGCAGAAAAAGAAAGAAACAAAGATCAAGATCACATAGTCCACGTAATAACCGAGTAAGGCAATCAATTATGTCTTTGCCGTTTGTTTACGAATGAAACAGTGTTGAAATTGAAAATGTCATTTGAGAACCAGTGTCTTAATGCACGGAATGAAATTGCCTAAACGTTTAATGAATATCATTTAGGGCAGGGATGAGTCCAGATATACTTCCCGGGTATCCAACATTACCCGGGGCTTGCATAGATGTTGGCTTGGATTCAAAATTTCTATTTGTGAATTGTTTTGCCGAAGACCTGGCAACAACTAACTTGAACTATTTAGACTCATGTATAAACATGATTAAAATAAATGTGTCATATATATCTTTTTCCTCATCGTTAAAAGTTAGTGGGGCGGTAGTCTTCATGAGATGGGACACTTATTTACATGACTGCTTGTCACTGGACCACAGATTTCTTCAAGGAGCACAAAACTGTTTCTGCAAATGATAAAAAGAGAAATTAAAAAGGAAAAACCATTACATATAGTTATTGATTGTTATAACAGTTATTGAATATCATCAAAAAAATGTAAAAATAATAGAGAATTGTCAAGTTTGGAGAAACATTTCAGCCAGGCTTTTTTTTCTACTCTATATATTGGTCACAAAATGTTCTTTAGTATTTGTAAATAAGTGCTAATTATTTGTGATTGCAGTCATGGTAAGGTATTTGCTTGTGGGTGGTGGGGCAGTCTAGTGGTTAATGTGTTCACTCGTCACGCCGAAGACCCGGGTTCTATTCCCCCATGTGGATACAATATGAGAAACCCATTTTTGGTGTCCCCCACCATGATATTGCTGGAATATTGCTAAAGTGGTGTGAAACTAAACTCACTCACTCACTCCTTAGCTTAGCTTGTAGAGGCAGTGCAAGTTGGAGCCTTTCCGTAGCCAAAAATTGATGTTAGAAAAACTGTATCAGATACTCCCAGTACAGCTAGTTATCATGGTTATATGTCATCTAACCATTGACAAGCAGCATTGCATGTGCTTCATCAAATAACTAACAACATGAATATTAAAGAGTCTGAGTCATGCATGCATGTGTCAGATATATTGTCAATAAGCTTATATAGATTTGGATATCTTTCAAAATGTTACGGTCCCAAAGTTTGAAATTTGACCAGCTGTACTGATCAAAACACATGTGTTGTCAAATTAGACCAGTAACCTAGAAGACTGAACAATGTGTGAACAAAAACCATGTCTTTCTTTAGAATGTGCGAAGTATGTATGAAGAGATAATGATGAGATGGATACAAACTAGTACAACATTTGTCAGAACTTACAGATCGCATGTGCGTATCGGTGTATTCATCATGATTATAGAGATTCATCCTGTACTGGTTACATTATCAAAATGACTTCATTTAATCAGTGTTTCAATTAATCAATTTTACAATCCAAAAGAAAAATTATGTTCGCCTAAATGCAAAAGGATGATTACTTGACACAAATGTTTGTCAATGATACATCCTCTTTACCTTTTCACTCAGTATCACAAGTCGAACATGTTGAATGCAGTTGTTTATGTGTAATTTTTTTTCTGTTTTAGGGGAAGCATAAAAAGCACAAAAAGCACAAGCATCGTAGTGACAGTGATGAAGATGACAGACGAGATGCAAGACATGACCGCGACCACAAAAGACACCGGCCTGATAAATACGACCCACATAAGAAAATCAAACAGGAACCAGATGATGATTTAAGAAATCAGAGAAGAGAGCGTGAACGGAATGACGATCGCAGACGGAAAGCACGGAGACAACGAGAAAGAGAAAATGATGACAGTGATCAATTTCAGTTTGGACAAGGCCGCAATCTTGGTCCAGAGCAACCTGTGAAGACAGAGCCTAAAGAAAAGGAGAAACCTAACTTCGAAGTGTCTGGAAAGTTGGCTGAAGACACAAACACATACAGAGGTGTGGTAATTAAGTATAACGAACCACCCGAGGCAAGGAAGCCTCGCAGAAATGGAGATTGTACCCATTTAAAGGAGACCAAGCCCTTCCCATGTTACATCTGCACAGACAAAGTGCTTTCCTTCTGGGCAGAGACAGACGAGTGGCAGATATACCCGTTGATCACCCCTCATGTTCTAAACAACACGCAGCTCTTCAGTTCCGGCTTGTTGAAGGTCGGCGTGACAATGGAGCCTTGTGCAGACAAGTAAAGCCATATGTGATAGATCTGGGGTCTGCCAATGGTACCTTTGTTAACAATAAACAAATAGAGGCACAAAGATATGTCGAACTATTGGAGAAAGATGTGCTTAAGTTTGGTTTCAGTACAAGGGAGTATGTTCTCCTTCATGAGAAAGCGGATACCTCTGAGTTACATGATGAGGATGAGGAAGACAGTTCGTAAAACGTGTCAACAGTGCTTGAAATTAACCGCTCAAGTCCAGGGGCCCTTGCAATCACCATCATGGTTCCTAGATTCAGATACCTTAGACATCAAGGACCCCTTGACACACCTTAATTTTAAACACTGTATCGTGATGGCAAAGTTTTCTAGCATTCTGTCATTTCATTTGTATCAAAGTGTATAGTGTATATGGTTATAATTTCTCATGGAATCAGCTATTTTGTACAAATTTATCATCATGGAGATAGTAAATTGTTGCAGTGTACATTTGCCAGGTTAAGGGAATGGTGAAATACTTGACGGTTTTGTAACAGAATACCTAATCAGCCTAAACACTATTTGTTTTGATAGAAACTACTTATGTTACCATGGTTACTCAGGGTTTTTACGTGACCCATAAATGTGTGTCCAGTACGCACAAATTTAAGGATGGATGCAGAAAACCCAAAAAGGAGAGATGCACAAAAATGCCAAGAGCGTACCTACAACGCATCAAGAGTAGTTATCTGTGTCTGTCACCCTTCTGTCAACATGATCACTGATTCATTCCAGGCTCTGAAGTCATTATCTAAAGGAACAGTACACTACACCATTTCCATACTTTACAGGACTTTCTGATTACGCAAATGAGTGACCCCTCTCAGGTAGTCACTTGTACGCGTAACGGTGGACCGTCTCGCCCACACATTACATCCTCTACTGATTACCCACACGGACCCTTAAAATTTATAACCCATGAAGATCCTGATTAGAACTGATCTTCAGTAACCCATGCTTATCATAAGAGGCGACTAATGGGATCGGGTGGTGAGGCTCGCTCACTTGATTGACACATATCATCGGTTCCCAAATGCGTAGATCGATGCCCATGATGTTGATCAATGGATTGTCTGGTCCAGACACGATTATTTACAGACCACTGCCATATAGCTTGAATATTGCTGAGTTGCGGCATAAAACTAAACTCACTCACTTAATATATATTGATAAGATCCCTGGACCGCACTTTTGTAAGTCAAGGTAAAACCCTGGTCACTGCTATTCACAAGGTTAACGGAACATGTTGACAGAACATGTTCATCTAATGTTAACAGTAGAAACTGGAATCCCAAGGACTGGTTTCAACTTTTTGGTGTGAAGTAAAATGTTGTAAACGGTCGGTGCTCAGCACTGAAAGTCCTTCAAGAGTCGTATCCCAATTTCTGTTAAAAAATGAAAACCAGTGTGGGAAAATGTTCTGGTTTTGGTACTTTTTATAAATGCGTGCTAGAAATGGGTCTGTTGTGCTGAGAAATTGTTTAGGTAACGATAGTAACAGTAACACATTGAAACTGTATAAATCATTGAATGTTCAGGATTAGACTGTAAGACTTATATCATACTGACTTGGTGCATTTTGTTAGAGAAAATATACCTCCTGAATGATTTTGTCATTCATTGTCCATGTTTCATGCATTGTGCACATCCATCAGGCATATTTTTGTCATCACTCTTGTCATCAGTTTTGTCATCAGTTTATTCATATATATGTAACTATGTGTCCTGTCCAGTGAAGATTCATTGATCCCTTTCATATAGTAACTATACAAAACAGGCAAAGATTTTGTGAATATGATGAAGGCTGGTGTATGTTTTGATAATGAAAGCGAAGAAAAAGCCAAAATATTCTCACCTGTGTTCTCACAAGAATTAGGGCGGTGGGGTAGCCTAGTGGTTAAAGCGTTGGCTCGTCACGCTGAAGACCCGGGTTCGATTTCCCTCATGGGTACAATGTGTGAAGCCCATTTCTGGTGTCCCACGCTGTGATGTTGCGGGAATATTGCTAAAAGCTGCGTAAAACCGAACTCACTCACTCTCACAAGAATTGACCTATACTGGGGGGATAACAGTCTACATGTGTTTATCATGTTTATTATCTCATGCCTTAATGCCCAGAACAACATAATATAACTTTTGTAGCTGTGTTGCCAAATATAAGAGAACAATGAATGTTTCAAAGTGTCGCAGTCTAGATAACAGCTTACTTGGAGCACTGACTCATCATAAAAAATGTTATAAAAAAGTTTTCCTCTAAGGCCAGACCTGATTTCATTTCTTGTTATACAGATTTTTATCCTCAGAAAACCTAAAGGCAGGAAGGAAAAAAATACTTAAGTATTTTATTTTTGGCAATTTATGAAGTGTATATGGGGCAAAAAACAATGTCACCAATTTTTTTGGGTAAGTTTACATTTTTGGCCAATAAAAACATGAGGATTTTACTTTTTGAGTGGGGAAAAGCAATTATTATTTTTTTTCTTATTCTTGAAAAAATACGACCGTCGAATCCGTAAAACAAAAAATATAATTGGTCTGGCCTTATCATACCTTTGTAAAGGAAATGGGAGTTTCAAGTTGACAGTCCTGGAGCTGCTCAACAAAGCGATGTTAGAAATATGTATGCTGCACATCTGTGTTGAAATACAGGAGTTACAATTGTCTTTGTGTTACGATTGCGTAAATCTGTAGAGAAATGTACTGGTAGTGGTTATGATAATGCCTCATTCATTAATCATTACAAACATGGTGTTACTCAAGAGGCAGCTGGATGAGAGATTGGATGTGAGGAGTACTTTTGGTAAAATATATGAAATGATTATAATGTAAAGCTTGCTTAGAAAATGGTAACCATGGTTTCTATATGCACCATAACTAGCACGTATTGTTTTTTTGAAAATTGACAAATAAAGGTATATGTTGAAAAGTGAGTTACATCTGTCAGTTTGAGCGATAGTGATAAAAGTTAGTTCAGATGCTAAAATGTATTTGTTAAAAGTTACTTAGGCAAAAATATACAACTACAGTACTTGCAGACAAATCTGTTATGTATAAAAACCTATCATTCAGATTTTGATCACAATAGCAGATACTTATATAGATTACTTAAGTTTGGTTTAGATGTTACCATGGTTACTGGGCACTTTTTGAAGCAGGGCGCCTGATATGGGAAATACAGTATTTGACGTAATTCTTCTTCTAATATCATGAATATAGGTGTAGACTGAAAGGTTACTTTAGTATTTCAGTAACTACTGCGTGTATTGCAACTGTTTGGTAGATACTGTTGATTAAGGATATACAACACTCAGCTTCAAGCAACTGAAGAATATTGCTTGTCTGTCATTCTGTTGGTGATGTTCATGTGATCTGTGTATGACTGGGTAATCCAGTGACAATTGGTCAGGCACATTTGGCTGGAAAATGACCCCTGCAGACAGAGGAGACTCAGTGGGTGGTCAAGATCAGTATCTGTGTATGAATTTGTATTGGTCAGTCTTCACGAGGATCACAGTAACAACGTGGTACTGTAACTGGTCAGGCACACTCGGTTAGAAATTACCCCTGCAACCTGTCAAGGGGAGACTCACAGTGTTCACGAATGGTGTTTCAAGTTTCAGATGTCTGTCTGACCCTTTGAAAATTCACAGGACCCATAGAATAAAATTAAACTCACATTTCAGATTTAACATTTCTTATAATTGGCATTGAAATTATTAACAAACATAAGATTTATAAACAGCAATAAACAGCAAACAACTGTCACATGTCACATATAACAACTTCATTCAAAGTCATTGTGAAATATACAGTTGGGACACTGGGGCCGGTGGGTTGTAGACTTCTATCGGACCGTTGGCGAATCTACCGGATTTGTCAGAGGGTCAGACGCTATTCGTGAACTCTGTCACTCAGTGGGTGGTCAAGATCAGTATCCTGCTTAACAGTGTGGATGTGCTCATGATGTCAGTCACTGGTTTGTCTGGTCCAGGTGTTCATCAGCTGGAATATTGCTGAGAGCAGCATTAAATACCAATCATGATGTGGCAGGAATGTTGTCTAATGACATGGTTACATTTAGCCATACTGGCATAGATTCACATCTGTAATGTCTGAATATAGTATTTGTGTTATTGGTATGTACGCTTCTGTCAGTGGTGATGTACATGTCCTTTAATTCCAGGTAGATGTAGATTGACTCACTCCCAGGGAAACACCAACAACAAACCTCACATGTATCTGTCATTGGCTGAACATCATTTCTAACTGACATGTGAAGATACAGGTTAGAATTGGTCTTCAGTAACCCATGCTTGTAGTAAGAGGCGACTAAATGACCTGTCATATCTCAGTTGCGTGGATTGATGCTCAAACTCGATAGTTTGCATACTGCCTAGGGGTGTCGCGATACGCGAATGTATCGATGCATCGATACATTTTTACTGACGATACGATACGCGATACATGCTTGCGTGTATCGATTCCTATTTGAAAACTTTATCGATTCAAATTTTTATGCTATATCCATCTCCTTCAAAGTCTTGATAGTAAAATTATACGAGACAGCTCCGATAAATAGATGTAGCTAGCTTTACTTAAAAAATAGGTTGGAAACTAACAGCTTTTGTGATTGGCTAGACTATTTTGATGGGCCAATCAGCGAGCGCGTATGTTGCCGGTAAGGTAATGCTATGAAAAGGTGCGAAAATTATGTATCGCGGTACGTATCGTATCGTGACCTTGAGTCGTGATACGTATCGTATGGTGAGATTGGTGAATCGTGACACCCCTAATACTGCCTACATATTGCTGGAATATTCCTGAGTGCTCTAACTACACAAGTGATAGCAACAGTCATCCTGAGACTACAGTTTGTTTGTTTGTTGTTTAACACTACATGTTTAGCAATATTGCAGCTACATGAAGGTGGTCTATAAGTAATTGAGTCTGCACCCAGTGATCAACAGCATGAGCATCGATCTAAGCAACTGGCATATGATGGCATGTGTCAACCAAGTCTGTGAACCTGACAACTCGATCGTCTTATGACAAGCATTTGTTGCTGAAGACCTATTCTAACCCAAATCTTCACGGTCCGAGACAAAAGGAAAAGAGACCCAGGACTTCACTTGTCAGAGATGAGTAGACAGGGGAAAGATGGTGATCAGATGCTGTTACTTAGTGTTATACTTCAGTGACATGGATCATTTGCTCATACTTTCTGTCACTAGTTTATCTCATCCAGATTGTTGCTATTTTCATGCTTTCATCATGGTGAGTTTTGAGGACTAACAACTTGACTTCAGACAGCATTTTGTCACTTCGCTCGTTACGCAGAAAACCTGGGTTCGATTCCCCACAGGGGTACCATGTGTGAAGCCAATATTTTGTTGTGCTCTGTATGATATTGCTGCAATATTGTTAAAGGTGGCGTAAAATCCATACTGACTTACTCACTCACTCACTCATTATGCTTCAGGTCATTATGATAAAATGTGTTGTTGAAGTTAAAGTGTATTAGGGACAGTGGGGTAGCCTAGTGGTTAAAGCATTAGTTCGCTGCACCGAAGACCCAGGTTCGATTCCCGACATGGGTACAATGTGTGAAGCCCATTTCTTGTGTCCCCCGCCGTGATATTGCTGGAATATTGCTAACAGTGGCGTAAAACAAAACTCACTCATTCACTCATTAAAGTGCATTAAGTTGATAAGGGATTTCTTTCTCAAGGATTTTTGTGTATGTAATTATGAAACTGGATATTCATTGTTATTTTCAAAAGTGTTGGGAAAGTATACATCCAATCCTCAGTGCAGCTTGGTCCAATTGGGCTACATAAGTGTATGTGATGTTCTGCTGTTGGAAATTTGTGATTTATACATGAAGTTCATTTTCAGATGACTTAATCTAAATAGTATTTATATTTGGTAAATATTGTGACAGTTGTGAGTGTGCAGCATTGTCTCTGATGAAATAAAGCAAGAAATGCTAATATTTGGTTTCTGTCTTCATCTTTGAAGGGTGTATGTGCCTGCTGTACATACAATATACTATTGAGGGAGAAACAAGTATTGCGATAGCGATAGTCTATTGCAACATACTATTGTGACATACTATTGCGATAGCGATAGTCTATTGTGACAACTATTGCCATATTGTTTCTCCTTGAATTGTCTCATTTGAAGTCATTTCCTAAATGAATGTATAGTTTATATGAAATAAAAACAAGCTGAAGTAGTTACAGTCTCTCAGTCTGACAAGAAACTTCAATCCAGATCAAGTTTGTAACAGGGCGGATAACTCTAAATCAAAGTGAACGAATCTGGTACTTCCTGCATTTTGTGTTGCGCATTTATCAACGGACAGTTACTAAACTATTGATAGTCACACGTACTATTGATGCATCAATAGTTTTTCGTTTCTACCATCAATTAATTGCTATTGGAGACTCAACCATGCAATCCATTTGATAGTTCAATGCATTGTTACAGGCCCTTGTTTAAAGAGACAGCCACCTGGGACCCATTTGTCGCAAAATGACATTAATGACACCTTTTGCAAAAAAAAGATGTAATAAAGTGATGAAAAGTGAAGATTGATCTGGTAGATAAAATATCATGTTCATGAGAGCAGTGATTATGTCTCTAGGTCTGTCAGGGGTGGTGGGGTAGCCTAATGGTTAAAGTGTCCGCTGGTTATGTTCACAGAGATGCCAACTCTCCCGAATTTATCAGAATCATCCAGAAAAATGCATGTTGATTCCGCCATTCCAACAAAGCCAAATTCATTCCGATTTTTCAAAATATAACAAAGATATAGATAGTCTTACTTACTGGAGGGCTAGGATTATCTTTGACTATAAATAATGATAATTAAATAAATACAACACTATATTTACAGAAGTTACCAAATTGATTACACATAGAAAGTAATCTGGAAGTTGAGTAGGTTGCCTGATAAATTCCACGCACTGTTTATTTTATTCACTTAACATTCACAAACACTGCTGCCGAGTACTGCAAACCGGTTTCAGTTGTATAAGTATCTCTGTGTAACTGGCATTTATACATTTTGTTCCTTGAGTGCAACAATTTGTAGGGATCCCTAATTTGTTAGGAAAATTCCTAATTGTTTCTATCTTAGGGAGCTCAGAATCCTAATTGCACCAATTTGGGTTTGGCATCTCTGCGTTGAAGAGACCCGTGAAGATCCGGGGTAGAATAGGTCTTCAGCAACCCCTGCTGCCACAGAAGGCGACTATGCTTGTCGTAAGAGGCGACTAACGGGATCGGGTGGTCAGGCTCGCTGACTTGGTTGACACATGTCATCGGTTCCCAATTGCGCAAATCGATGCTCATGCTGTTGATCACTGGATTGTCTGGTCCAGACTCGATTATTTACAGACCGCTGCCATATAGCTGGAATATTGCTGAGTGCGGCGTAAAACTAAACTCACTCACTCACTGCGTTGAAGACCCGGGTTCGATTCCCCACATGGGTACAATGTTTTTTATGATCTGCTCCACACAAAGATTTTATCTTGACCTTCACTGAATATTGGTCAGGGCACAAAAGATGACATGATGTACCTCACTCACTACCCACTCACTGTGTTGAAGACCGGGTTTGATTCCCCACATGGGTACAATGTTTTTTATGATCCCCGCTGTGATATTGCTGGAATATTTAGTAAAACCATACTCACTCACTATGTTTGTCCTCTCACCATCCCTCTGCCCACGTGGAAAATGTCGAGGTCCCATGCATCTCTTTCCTCCATCTTCAGTCAAACTTACCTGCAATATCTGATATGACACCACTGAAGAGACAGCATTATTGATCTGCTCGACACAAAGATTTTATCTTGACCTTCGCTTAATATTTGTCAGGGGCACAAAAGAAGACATGATGTACCAACACTAAAATCATGTCCTTAGTAAAAAACGTTTGTCTGACATTACTTTAAGTTTGATGATAAATAACCTGATTTTGCAACTAAACTTGTCCTATTTCTGCAGTACACAGATAGTCAGACAACTAGATGTGTTACAGTTGATGATTTATTATGATAGTTAAACAAAAGGAGAATTTTCTTTTTGTATTAAATATAAACACGTGAGAAATTAATAATTGATGCCTCCACATTTTTGGCTACCCCCTGGGCTCGATCTGAGGCCACTCTGGCACGGTTGGCAAATGAACCAGTCAATAAGTTCTACAGAGTGGCCTCCCTTACGTAAAAGGTGGCGCTCTTGCCCATTGACAACAGAGTTGGCGGCACATGGCAACGCACTGACTGCGTGCACCTTGGCTTATGATAACGGTGCTGGCAACGGTCAAAAATAATTTCATGGAACCGTGTTGGATGTACTGAAAGGAACCATAGAGCGAGCAGCGTTTGATCAGGTAACTTTCCTGCGTCATTACGCTGATAGTTTGAAGAAGTCGGTGATTAAAACCTCGAAGTTGAATCTATTTCAAACATGATGATTAACACTGACAACCTCGAAGTTGGGTCGGTTTTGAACATAACACTTACACACTTTCATTGTCAATTTACCTCAAGAACGATGTTAGGGCTGCTGTTAATTATGCCTACTTTCGGAAAATAACCCTAACATATATTTTGTCCAATGTATCACACCGTAAATATAAGTTTCCATACCACCACCACCACATCATCATCATCATCATCATCATCATCATCATCATCATCATCATCATCTTCTTCTTCTTCTCCACCACCACCACCACCACCACCGTAGCTACTTTCCATCCATTTGATGGTACACATAAATACATGTTGTCAATACATGGACACCCTAAACAAAACTCAAAGCAGGTAAATTTACAGTGTAATTGTGACCTGATGAAGTCACATCAATAATGTTCTAATTTTCTAATATCGGACTGATTGTCATTAAATCGTTTTTGATGTGAGATAACTCATGAATGATTGTGTGTCGTCATATCCTTATGTGACATGCATCCCATGACATTATCCCATATAGAACGTCTGTGTTACATATTTGGTAGCTCATAGCTGACACTGAAATCAATAAGTGACACTAAAACGCAACATGGCCAGTCACAAAGTCTGGCTAGAATGCATTATACCGGATACCTAGCAGGGTTAGGTTAGGGGTTAGGGTTAAGTTATGGTTAGGATTAGGGTTAGGGTTATTATCATCCCAGTTATATTTTTTCACCTTTCCGCGCTTGCATCACATGACCCAATTAAATATGGCAGGCAGGTATCCGGTATAATGCATGTGTACCCAAAGTCTCATTTTGAATTCCATAAATATTGAATAAATAGTCATTTATCATATCAAGTATGAGTGCTCATTTTTTGTGACGTCTGGAAAGATCAATGATATAACACTTTCAATAAGAAAGAAGATCACAAAATGGAAGTTTGGTGCAGTAGATTAAACTTTTTTTTTTTTATCAGCCTTGGTTCTAATTTCTTGAAGCATGGGTCTACATTAAAAACCAAGTGTCCTTGAGATCCTCTCTAGAAACTCTCAAATTTGTACCATTTTATATTAAGGACAAATGTTCATTCAATAATGCTGTCTATCACTTACAACATAAATTTGTTTTTGTGTGTATAAAACTAGGAATTTTCTTAACAAGATTAAAGTTCTTATATTCTAAACGGGGAGATTTTAATAATCACATTCAAATATTCCATAACATTAAGCCTCTTTGAACCTTTTATTCAGAATAGAAACTGGTGACTTGCCTCATCATTTTCGTTTGTTTACAGAGTGCATTGTCAAAGAATAAACAAACATTATGCAAAACAAATGCTCCAGGCAATATAAAATAAACAGTGCAATAGGCAAATGTGTCAAACCTAGGTTTATGAGATATGATACTCATATAAAACATATTGCCATAGAATTAACAACAACAGATCTCTCAGCTTATACATGCACTAGGCAACAACATGTTCACAACAGTCATGTTGATATCTATACCTATAACTGTTGTCAGTATTGCCACTACAGGCTTAGTGCTCTTGGCATTATTTTCATTAGAGAGTAGTGTTATTATATAAATTACTAGTAAGACCTGTGCTTAGTTGACCAAACAGAGAGTTTTACAGTGGGCTGTGGACTATATGCAGAAGTGACATATTAGATGGATACTAGTATATATTTGTTGACGGTATGTATATATTAACTGACAGTATGGTAAGTGAATTGGTTTATATTTGCTGTCAGTATGGCAAGTGAGATGGTATATACTGTTGAATATATGGCGTGGGAGTAATGGTATATATTTTTGTTGACAAATTGGCGAGTATAACGGTATATATTTTTGTTGACAGTATGGCGAGTATAATGGTATGTCAGTATGGCGAATATACTGGTATATATTTGTTGTCAGTGTCCAGTATGGCGAGTTTGATGGCGGGCCTGCTTCCGGAGACCCAGGGGGTTCAGTTCACGGCCAGACCAGTGCTGAGGACACGGGAGAGCCTAGCTGTGAGGACAACATCACGCATTGGACGCCCTACAGCAATAGGTAAGTCTTCATGCTACCCTCTGTGATAAACTGTGTATGATGAAAATATGCAAAAAGTGTCAGTACAGCCTATCACTCGATGAAACAGTTTTAACAAATTGCTAGACTAGCCAGCCTTAAAAATTAGTAGCCAGTTTCAAATTCCACTTGCTGAAATTGCAACAGTTTATTTTCAACTGGGTTCATGGGTTCCCGAGTTTGTTGAATAGCATGCACTAGTGGTGGTCCGATTAATTGAAATAATCGAAGATTGGTCGCAGTGACTAAACGACAAAGCAATCGATCACGTTTTCTCATAATCGAACACGAACAATTCTGGAACACTTTTTGCATTAACAATATTTTTCACAAGGTTGGTTTTGTAAGTTACATTTCATAACCACTACAAGCTTGTTCCAAGTCATGATTGAATTTATCTTAAAGACCCAAGGAATTTTATGTTCCTAACATACTAGTTAAGTAGTAATCCTTTCAAGATGTGAAATTTGCCACCAAAAACCCCAAAGAACTGCATGTTTTTTCATTATGTTTTTTTTTTCATTAACAAAAAACAACAACAAAAAAACAGGAAAATTTCATAAATGACGCTAACCAAATATTTTCGATGATTGATCGGTTGTAATGAAGCAATCATCAATTATGATGTTTTAACCAATTCCCAACAATAGCATGCACACAGTTGTGATTGTTTATTGTAAATTTCGACCAATCAAGTTTGTTTTGCACACTGTTACATTAACAACAATCACTCAAACGATATGAATGGGTCCAGTAACTGATCTCACAAATTTTAACAGGTGTTAATTTAAGTTTCAGTTGCCAGTTAGGCAAGGGACATTTTATTACTATGAACTATCTGGTTATTTTGCACTTTGGTTACTTTTCATTCTGTGAAACAAAATGCTCCTAGTTAAACATGGACTGGTTGATGGCAATACTCTGTTGCCATCACTGGGTAACATTAAGATGTTTCCGTAAAATTTCTTGAAATAATCTTCAATGGTGGTCAAGGGACTGTTCATATTTTGCCAGCATACCCCCACCCATATACCCATTCTGTGTGCCAGACTGCATGTTAAGTAATAACATCGACACCCATCATCCCTTAAAATACATAACCAAACCCTAAATGATGTATGTATGTATTTTTTGAAAATATAACTTTTGTCATTTTTCATGGCCCCCTGTTCCTTATAGTTATGATAAATTTTGGTGACACCCACTTAATTTAATCCAGTCCCTCAATTTCTTTCTCTTTCTTTCCCCCCATCTCTTCCTCATTCATTATTCCCCCTACCCATGCATCCACCATTTTATGTGTTCGACCACCTGACCTGAGCGTTTTAGCCAAAAATCTTTTAACAAAAAACAATGAAAAGTGGCCACATTGAAACTGCTAGCACCCCATACCCATATTATCAATCAATCAATCTGAACCAATCAATCAATCTGAACCAATCAACCAATCAATCGATCAATGTACTTATTTAGTGGAAAAGCCTTAGATCCACATGCATAATTGTTACTGTTAAACAAAATTACGAGTGGAGTTGCAACAATAAGTTACAAAAATGCTGCATATGTTTAATATTTGTAACGTAATTAGAGTAAATGTTGTGTCATTAGCCATATTCATGACATTGGAGTTTCAATTATATCAAAAGGCCGACTTGAACATTTTGGGGCCAGGTCTACACCCACTTTAATTTGGTTGCACACTAACCTCATGATTTACAGTATATGTCATGATTTAGATGATCTTTCAGATATAATCCATAATCAGCAATAGATAACACTTGAATGACCATCTCCCCGTAGAACTTGATCTTTATCAGCGCCAACTCACAAGGTGCTTGGTATGGAGCCCCTCTATTCATACCACTACCTGTATACAGGGACTTAGCATGAATGGATGTGACATTACATACAATCACTGGTCGAATGTTCAATAGGGGATTATATAGCGTGATCCAGGCTTCAATTGATGTAATCTCCTCTCACAGAGATATCACGGGGAGGCAAAGATACATTAACTGCAGGAACTAAACAGTCTTGTGTCCACGGAGAAAGACAGGCATTTCGCTGCTTAGTTACACGGGAGTTGTAATAAATCATCAAGTATCACAGTATCAATGGAGTAGATTGTAATGACTATATGATTTACTGTTCGCTTTCACTGTGTATGAATTATTCATGTCGGTTATGATTGTATATTTATGTATTTATACATGATACAGGGATTGACTGAGAGAAGGCTGCCTAAGTATCTTTTGATATCCAATTTATCAACATGAGTCGATACAAGATTAATAAAATTTCCAGGCTTGCTAAGGAGTTTAGACTTTATAAACGTGTCTTTATATGTGATGTAAAGATTTATGAGGGTAAATTTCTATTTATCATCCAAAATCATTATTCCTGTTTTTATTTGTAATAATTTAGTAATAATTTTTTGTAATAATCTTGCCCTACAAAAATTAGGGTCCAAAGGACCAAAATTAGGCTCCTGCTAATAGGACATTTGAGGTTCTTGTAGAGTAAATGAATAAGGTAATGTACTGTACTTTAACATGAAAGTATTATTTGTTTTGTCAGGAACTATATATTTCTTGTTGAAAATTTGGGCCAATTGAATATAAAGTCTCGTATGTCAATACATACTTTTTCTGCATCCACTGTGTACATTTGTACATCTTGGATGTATCCGAGGTATTTTTCTTGAAAATAATTGGTAGTACCACATTTAAACGGTAAAACCCCTGAATAACCAATATTTGGTGTACAGGGTACAACTAACCAGAGCTTCAGTGGCAGAAATGGTTTCTCCATTTTATCTCATGCCATTGTCACTTCAATACAACAATTCTGGAGTAATTTGTAATGACTGAATTGTGATTTCTTTGATTACCAATTTATGTTATTTCTTTAACTAGAAATTACATCTGATAGTTTTTGGGTAGAATAGCTGTAAGGTATAAGTGTATTGAGCACAGATACCATCTTGAAAACTGATAACCAGATATTTTTCAGTTACAAAACTGTGAGATATCTCTCTCGACGGTCATTGAAATTGCATCACATCATGTTAAGGATCAAATCTGGACCAGTGATTGATATTGTGAACAAACATCCACTGTCAGGTCATGCTGACCTCAGCCAACCAACTCAGTGCTGAGTTGTAGGACCAGAATAGTTATTATTTAACTTCTTTAAACCAGATGTTTTTTTGTTTTTTTAGTGGAAACATAACATTTATTTTGCAGTAATTATCAGTAAAAGACTGTTATGGATAATGACTCATTCTAACAGATTTCTATGGACTTGGTAAAATAACAGTGTGTGAAACAGCCTCTGGCCCACTATGCCATGGCTAGTAAAAATCCAGTTGGGCCAGTAAATCTCCACAGTCAATTTTGAGGTTATTTTGTAAATATATCACTCTCTCCGACTTGTTAAGTTAAAATACACTTTTAAATCATGCAAGATTATGGCTTGATAAAAATGTTCATCATAGTAGCAGCTTACTGATGAAACCCGTGTCATGCCGACAATATCCTATTCTTATCTATTTTTGTAATCTTTTGCTTAGGTTCTACATTCAAATTTGGGATAGTGAATTATTTTGTGGGCTAGTAACTTTCAGGCATAACTAGCCAGACTGGGTAGCAACATTTGGAAACTATTTCACACACTGAAATAACTACACATAGAGATCTTATAACATTGAATATGTTAATGTAAAATAATTATTCAAAGTTCAGTGGCCTTGAATCCTTGAAATTATCAAACAATATTCTTATTATACACCTGTAATTTTATGTGACTCTTCCATGATCATCTTATGTTGCTGGTTTGATATCCTGCCTGTTACTCACAGCGATCTTATTGCCTACTTCAGGTTCTGAACAGCAGTTGTAGTTTGAACAACGGCTGCAATAACCAGTGAGTGGTTTCACAGCAGTTGTAGGTTGTTAAGGACGCCTGTTGCACAAAACTGTTTACTCACACTCTGTGTCGTTGACATTTTTACACACCAAGAAACCATTCAGTCCTCATGTTTGATTTACTGTAGTGTTTGACCAGTTGCCTGGAAAACAGTATCTGGTATTTTGATTCTACCTTCCTGACAACATATAATCAGTGTGATCTTGAGCCTTAGGTTTATGTTGTCAGAGAGGATTAACTCTGGTGACAAATGACTGTTTCATAACAGTGTTGGTGTTTAATAAACAGCAGCTGGGAACATTGACCAATGTTTTGCTTGGTGTTGTGTCATAGTAATTAACAATAATAATCAAGTTTCACCATTTTTATAAAATGAAGTATGAATGTCAAGTGTTTTTGTTATAAAATATAAAAATTAAGTGGGGGGTAATCAATTTTGTACACATGTAATAGGGGGGTCAGCAATTTTGTACAGGAGGGTCACTTACCTTGCACATAATATTTAGGGGGTTCATTCACATTGAATATGCTTCTCCATAAAAATCGTCATCACCCCTAGCCATAAATTATGAACGGTCCCTAAGCCTGAAAATGATGTTTGACAAATAGTGTCACCAAAACACTGTCTGATAAGCCTAAAATGAGCTAGGATTAACAATTTTGCTTTAGGTGGACTGTTTGACTGTTTGCAAGAGTGTAAGGCAAGCACAAAGCATATTATTTTCCTGTTGGTATAATGATGTACATATGATGTTTACAAAGTAGAAATGCAGGGTTAATATTTTAATAATTTTTTTTATCAAATACAGTCAAGCACAGTTTTGTCAAACTCTGATAACTCGATATCTCAGTTGTCTCGATATAACAACTTGGTCCCGGCAAAATCCTTCATAATTTATCATTATTCAAGCTCTTTTAACTCGATATGGATGTCTCGATATTTCGGATATCTCAATATAATTTCATGGTCCCAAGAATCAAAATTACCCTTTTAACTCGACATTTATAAAGAAACTCGATATTAATAATAAGTCATCTTCTATCGTGCACATTTCCAAACACCAAGTGATTGCTCGCGGCACACCTACCTTTAATTGGCAAGTATCCCTCTGAACTGAGGTTGTTTCCACACGTTTACACACCGTGCGGCATGAATCAATGGGATGCGGTAATGTAAACTAAATAGGGCTAATTGAGTTGAAGGTGTCACTTGTTTGTTAATTCATTAGGATTAATTAAGAAGGAATTAATTAGAAAGTGCTCACAGTTACGACTAAACACTACTGATAACGTAATATAGTTTCGACTCAAAACATACTGAGAATCCAATGAGGGTTTTGTGTAATCATGTGACTAGCATGTGATTGTTAAGTTGTTTCTAAATTGAGGACTGAGAAATACTGATTAGGAGTCAATTTGAAAGCTATTGTGTTGTGGGGCTATAGTGATATGAGATGATATGCTCTGGTCGGACGCCTCGAAGTCCGGATAACTCTGTATTTTGTCTTGGTCCCATGAATATCAAGACAACGGTGCTAGACTGTAATGTGTATCAAATAAGTATGTTTAGATCATTTGTCCTTCACTAAATTACATTTAGAAGTGATGTATGTGGACAGTTCCTAGGTGAATAGTCAATAAATATTTTACAAGTAGAACTAAATAATTTGCTTCTATGTATTTTACGCAATCTCTTGCTTGTACTCTTTGTGAGAAAACTCTTTGTAAATGTATTGCGACTGTTAGACAACCACTTCTGAGCAAGTAGGTCCTCATTTGCTTTCTTATCAGATCTTGATGTTTTTTGTTTATTGTTTAACACCGCACTCAGCAATTTGTCAATATGGTGGCGGTCTGTAAATAATCAAGCCAGACAATCCAGTGATCAACATCATGAACATCGATCTACACAACTGGGATATGATGACATGCGTTAACCAAGTCAGCGAGCCCGACTATCCGATCCCGTTAGTCATATGATAAGCATGGGTTGATGAAGACCAGTTCTGGCCAATCTTCACAGGAGGCTGAGATTATCTGACTGGTTAATTATTATTATTATTATTGTTGGATATTTATATAGGCACATATCCACGCACTAGTGCATGTTCAAGGCGCTGGTATTTTCCCCCGATCATTTGATGTCAATCTCAACAGCACATCTTATTATCAATCTGAACTCCCTAGGGATCATACAACTCTTGCTGCCACTAGGCATGCTGTGACTTTCCCATCCTTACGAGGTACCCATTCGCAGCTGGGTGGACTGGGACACATAGTCACAGTACTTTGTCCAAGTTTACTGCATGTTGCTGTACCTGCAACTAAGGTGTTTGCACATATTCATGTGGCCACCATCTGGTCATATACCAACGGATTCGTGCACAGGGTTGTGTACTGTACACTAGGGGTTGTAACTGTACACAAAGTTGACTCCAAGGTTTTTACACCCGGTCACTGGCGGGTTCCATCCCGGCACATCATGCCCGCTGGATCACTTGCCTGGCGCCTTAGCCAGCTCGCCCACAATGCCCCCTTATAACATCCATGTGAAAAGATCTCTTATATGATAGACTATCATTTTAAAAAATGATATGCTTTTATGATATGCATGCATTCAATGTCTCTTTCAGGGGGAGATTATCCTGTCAAAGCCAAAACGGGCAATGCGGCAATGTCCAGTATTGAGATTGAGGCTCAGCTCCGGGAGAAAGTCAGACTCAAGTTCGACAGTCTCAAGCAGGTAGATACTACTGGAGATACAACTATCTCCTACATAGTTACACTATATACAATTCTGGACACTTGGATATACTGATCTTATCAGTCTTTGAGATAATGAGATGAAGTTTCTACAAAAATGATCTTATCCTGTGGGGTTTGTGTGGAGGAAAACTATTGTGAAAAACTATAGTAAGGCCAGACCAATTTTATTTCTTGTTTTATGGATTTTTGTCCTCAGAAAACCTTAAAAGGCAGGAGGGAAAAAAACCAAAAAACAATAAAATCACCAGTCAAAGTAATAATTCTTCTATTTTAATACTCAAAATATGCTACTTTTGGCAATTTATGAATTGTATATGGGGCAAAAAACAATCTAAAAACAAAATTTCTTGTATGTTTACATTTTTGGCCAATAAAAACATTTTATTTTTTGAGCGGGAATAATTATTTTTATTATTGAAAAAATGCGACAGGCGGATCTGTTAAACAAGAAATAAAAAATGTCTGGCCTAATGAATATGAATATTAAGTCATGAATACTTTATGTTCAATATCAAGAAATTAAGATAACAAACATGTCATGTGATTGCTATAGTTCAAACATTCAAATAATATTTTCTTTAAAGCAAAAAAGCAATACATTTCGAACAATAGCTAATGACAGTGCTGTAAGTGGCCTTGGCAAAATAATACTAGTTAGGCAACTGTGTGTCTTGGATACATTCCATTTTGGGTGTCGCACTTCGATAAACAACAAACAAGTTCCAAGTAAAACACTCCCAGTGGTCAAGGGGGCTGCCATTCATTAAGTAGAGTTATGTCCCTTAGCTAAGACAGAATCTGCTGGTCTTGGGTTCAGCCACATTATAATCTGTCAGGACCAAACCTATATTTCCACAGTAAGCAATGGTAACTAAGGTTCCTACCTTATTCAGCAGATACTCCATGATGCCACTGAAATGCTGTTCAGTGTGCAGTAAAATCTATTTGTCTGTTTTGGAATATGAAGCATTATATGATTATGAATCTTATTTTATATTTAAACACTGTTTACCAGATTGTTCGATTGTTACAGGCCTTCCAGACGTATGATGTGGACCAGAACTTGAGCATAACCAAGGGAGAGTTCCGGCGGGTTCTGGAGTCGTTCTGCTTCCCTCTCACATCAGAACAGTATGAAGCAGTTCTAGTCAAGGTGTGTTTTCTGAATCTCATGTGATTCATTACATTAGTTCTGGTTCCTTTGTACTGCTGGTCCCACTGGCTCCATGGTCTAAGGTGCCATAATTCTGTCTGAAGAGTTTCGGGTTGGTTGAGTAGCCCAGCATTCACTCGTCACACTGACGGCTCAGGTTTGATTCCCCACATGGATATAATGTAGGAAGCCCATTTGTGGTGTCCCCAGCCGGATATTTTGCTGGAATACACAAACTCACTGACGTCTGTGAACTTCAGTACCAGAAAGTTGCATAATCCAATCATATGGTAATGCTAACCAATATTACCTAAAGTCTCCATTTTACCTTGTTTGTGTGTACTTGTCTACCTATGCTTACGTCTATTTGAATCAAAGCTTGACATGTGAGTGAGTGAGTTTAGTTTTACACCGCACTCAGCAATATTCCAACAGCTGTCTGTAAATAATTGAGTCTGGACCAGACAATCCAGTGATCATCAGCATGAGCATTGATCTACGCATTTGGGAATCGATGACATGTGTCAACCAAGTCAGCAAGCCTGACCACCCGATCCTGTTAGTTGCCTCTTACGACAAGCATGGGTTCCTGAAGATCAATTCTAATCTGGATCTTCACGGGTAGCTTGACATGTAAACTCTTCAGCATTGAAGAACACATGAAAACAAGCTACCGGTATGTCTCTCTCAGTGATAATTACACATGTATGTCACTAATAGATAGATAATACTTATCTACCTCTCCTGTTTAACCCGGAAAACCGGCTAAGATGTCACGAGTCCCCAGACACCGTAGGCTGGTAAACCAGCCAAGCAGTAGTCGCATCAAAATGATCTATAATTTTAGGAACCTAACTAACATATGATTCTTTCATCAAATCTATCACTTTTCACAATGTCTGAAAACACTTATTAAATTTCAAATGACCATATATTATCGACAGGATGAGAATTATAAACTATTTTTCGCAATGTTATTGAAAAAAAATAATTCTCAGACACATGCTTCGGCAAGTGTCCACAGCAAAGTTGTCAAAGAGCAAAGTAACGATGTTTCGAGAAAATAATTAAACAAACTGAATAAACTGAAGAATAAAATCCACAACAGTACTCATAAAGTTGTCAAACGTACATTATAACTTACTATTTCCATCTTTTGAGCGATCGTGTATTGTAATTCAAGTGACATCTCGGCTTTCGTCACCTCGAACTTCACACTCGGACACGATGTTTAATGCTAAAATATATGCATGAAGCATTTTTGTCACAGGTCATAACCTAGCACGATACGTCCACTTAGGGGAGTACTGCAGTTTACCGGTCGCACTTTTTCCCGGGTTCCCTAACCCTAATGATCGTAAAAGGTGCCATAACCCTAACCCTAACCCTAAGGATCATAAAGGGGCCCATACCTAACCCTAAGGATCAAGGGGATAAAGGGTTGTTTGACTCTAAAGGTGCAAGTGAAGGGAGACGGCTGCACCGGTAAAGTGCATTCTAGCCCCACTTAGTTCCATAATATATGTATAGGTGGTGATTTATTGCGTAACACGTTCAGAATAGCGTGATTGTACCCAAAACTTTCGTCTGAATCATTAGTTTTCGTTTACGAGGACGGTATCCATTGCTGTAATATGATTGGCTGCCTTAGGTCACGTGTACGATTTTGACCAATCACGATGCTTATATCAGACTGTGGCGAAAAAGCGTCATTAGAAACCAATTTTTTTTTTATCCAATAAAATCACTTCTTACAACTGTGAAAATACTCTTGGCAAGGGTATAGTGATATTGTTGATGTTCAGAGCTTTCAAACAATACCTGCCATCAAACGAATCGCCTCACATGTTATTCATATGAAGCCTCGAAAACCGAGGTATTTCCCGCTGTTGTATCATGTTACTGAGCGGAAAGTCACTGATATCGGGTAATAGACGACCATACATATTATTTGAGAAATCTTTTTTAAAATAATTTTCCGATTACGTAAAAATGAAAATGTAGAAGAAAAAGGTAAGGGGATATTATGACATGTTACAAATGGAAAAGAATTGCCGCATTTTTTGCTCCCTTCGTGGTTTGTCTTGACATTATACATTTTTAAGCTTGCATTTTCATTAAAAATTAAGTTAATTGCGTTGTAGTTGGATTATTTGAATTAAATGATGAAAAATAAATTCATATTTATAAACAGTAGGATTAGACCTTTCAAATGGTGTATGATATGTAGTAGCAATAATGTTTTACAAGCTGATATTTTCCTTGATAAACATAGGCTCCATCTATGACCTCAGAGTCTCTGGGAACTCGGTGTCATGGCAATAAAAGCCTCTGGTTGACTGGTGTTGAAAGAGTTATAAATATTGTGTAAAATGGCCTCTAAGGAAGAATGACGGGAGTCCAATTTGTGACTTTATCCTCCGAGTGTATGCCACTGCTTCAAAGCTGCAACCAAATAAGGCTTTCATCGTTACAGGTGCAGCGTAACCCCAATGGAACTGTGCGCTATCAAGACTTCCTGGAGAAGTTCCACGGGAAAGACAGTGGCGGCAACGGCAGCAGGGAGAAGTGGATGAGTGGCCAGCAGCGGTATGACATCCTTACCATATTCACATTCCTGCCACATCACAGTTATCTTCGGAGCGGTGGGGTAGCCAAGTCGTTAAAGCATGCCCTCGTCATACCGAAGACCCGATGTAGTAGAATTTCTTCCCCAGGTCTAAACTTTCCCCAGGGAAGTTTTGTCCTAGGATATTTTAACCCCGGGGAAAGTTTGGGCTAGGCTAAAGTTCCCCCACCCCCCTAGGCCAAAGTTTCCCCCCTGTTTAAACTAGGATATTTTGTTCCGTGTTCTATGAAAGGGAGGGGGGGGATTCTGGCCTAGCTAGGCTACTTCTCGCCCACCCTTGTTCTTATATCAAAAGTGGGAGATTCTGGCCCTGCTCCAGTCGCCATTCCTATGAAGACACATTGCATTAGTTCTTCATCTGTCCAAATCATGTCACCATAAGATGTAAAAATTCAGTCACACATTTGATGGGTAAATAAGACGTAATATACACAGGTTGCTTGCTCTCTTATCATGCTGTTTATTATCTCATATTTGTTGTATTTATGTATAAATGTAATGAAACATTATTCACATAAGCTTGTTGTCTAATCCATAATCACGTTGGGTGAATGAAATATGTTTCAGATATCCATGTATACCCCTTACAGAGATGCCAACCCATACGATCGTATTTGTTACCAAAAATTACACAAAATACACAACTACGATAGCAGTGAAAATATAAAAATTTTGTAAAAAAAAATTTCATTATATTAGATTATAAAATAGCACGTACCATACACAATAAATTTGAACCATATTTTTATTCAGTATCAAGCTATATGTGGATACTTACTACTGATTTAGGTGAGTACAATGTTAGGGTTGGCATCTCTGCCCTTATCAAACCTTGTCTTTTGAACCTAGAATAAGGCACTATAGGGGAATGATAGATGACACAGCATTTGATATAGATATTGTGTTGATGTTTATGTCTGCTTCCAACTGTTAAGTTGATGTCGCAGACGTGGTTACCATATTTAAAGCCATGAGTGAGGGAATAAGATTTTGAATGGATATGGACATTCAAGTAAAAACTGGGTATATAGTTAAAGTTTCGAATATAGTACTGATTTTGAGATAAGCCAATTTGGAATAAGTGGGGATAAGTAAATTATTGAAATATAAAAATAAGTAAATGATAACATAAAACAATAGTAATGATATAATATATAATAAAGTAAAGATAAATTTTGTAATGTTAAATTATTTTTAATAATTTTGAATTAGGGAATTGTGTTGGGTCAGACATAATTACTTTTACCAGTGGTTGTTTATATTTTAGTACTCATGTCATAGAGATACATATTAATACAAAACTATTTTCTTTAATTTTCTGTTAAGCTAAAGGGTCTACTACATACATAACAATCAGGTTGATGTTTCACCCTTAATTGTTTAGTATTGAATTGAAAGAAATCATCCATTTTCCTCACAATTATTCCTTAAATATATTTCCGGATTTAGTGTCCCATTAATACAGTATTGGTATCTCCAGTGACAGAGAAGTATCCATTAAAGTTGATTCAAGTGTGGGGAAAGTATGGCCTAGGACAAACTTTCCCCGAGGAAGATTAAGCCTTGGGGTGGGGGAAAGAGAGTTTGTCCTAGGCCTCGGCCGAAGTTTCCCCGGCCTGTTACACCGGTTGCGATTCCCCACATGGTTACAAAGTGTGAAGCCCATTTCTGGTGTACACCGCCATGATATTGCTGGAATATTGCTAAAATTCATTCACTGTTATCTTCGATAACTGGAATAAATATAGAGCATTGTCTTTCTTGTCTTGTTGACATGTTTAACTCAGCAAGAGACATGATGCATGCAGCTGTACGTGAAAATGTCATGAGATTCAACAAACATGTTATTTCATGAGAATTTATTGTTTTTTTTACGTCTTTATGCAGTTTCTTAAATGATGTTTGTGATCTAACTCTGAAAAACATAGGTAGATGCTTGGTGAACACATGGGTGAAAACTGGGAAACTCTTGTGCCTGTAGTTGTGTGTTTTGTTTTAAAATTGTTACAGTTTGTTAAAATATTTTGTTTGTCTAAAGACAATGGGACTGGGCAGAGTTGTTGCCTTCATCTGCCAACAGTTAAACATAAGATCACATAAGAAACATATACTCACATATACCATGTTATACTTTTAACAATATTCCAGCAATATTATGAGTGAGTGAGTGAGTTTAGTTTTACACCACACTCAGCAATATTCAAGCTATATGGCTGCAGTCTGTAAATAATGGAGTCTGGACCAGACAATCCAGTGATCAACAGCATGAGTATCGATCTATGCAATTGGGATATGATGACATGTGTCATGCTACCAAGTCATCGAGCCTGACCACCCGATCCCGTTTCACACATCTGTCACCCATATAGGGAATCAAACCTGGGAATTCACCATGACGAGCAAACTCCAACACCTGTGCTGAATTAAGAGTGGCAGTGTAGAAACACAGTATTTTTTAAAGTTCAAAGGGTCAGACCATATTTTCTCCTGTGATGAAGTACACTTATGTCATAATGGGCTGGCGTTATGACCCTGTTTAAATTATGCCTCTCTTGATCTAATGAATCTTATGTAACTTTGTTCTTTTGTTACTGTCAAGTAAGAGTGAGTGAGTGAGTTTAGTTTTACACCACACTCAGCAATATTCCAGCTATATGGCAGCGGTCTGTAAATAATGGAGTCTGGACCTGACAATCCAGTGATCAACAGCATGAGCATCGATCCTGTCAAGCAAGATGCTGCATTATTTAGTGTTTTCTGTATATTTATGTTTGTATCCAATATAAGATTCAGGTTTATCTGAGTGTGTGTAACATTGTCCTTTAAGATTAGCAATAAATGAAAAATTGAATGATTAGGTAATAAAAAGAAACCAAAAGCCTTTTAGAATGTATATATTTTGTTTGTTCAACAGGTTTGTCCATCAGCCTCCCACTAAAGAGATCAACATGGATGTGGTCGAAAGGATGGTCAGAGAGAAGGTGAGAGTTATCTCCTCTTGGGAGGTTGGAGTTATTCCCCTTGTTTCCTGTTTTACAGATTGTTAGTGCAATGTGATTGGTGGTCAGTTGTTATATAAGAAAAATGTCAACATAGTATCTGATACTGACAAATTGATATGTCAGGATAAATGATCTCGTAAACATTTTCAAGTTTACTTATATTAAAATGTAAAGCAAGGCCGTAATATAGTTTAGTGTTTGTACAAACACAAGTACATGAAATCATGCATCATGTCATAGGAGAGAATAAATATGTGTTGAAAGACAACATGGAGATAATTCTGAATGTTGAAAGCAAGGAATGATGAAAGTAAAACTGTGTAGCTTAAGGAACTCTGTTGGAAGTCAATGATTTGAAAACGGAATAAAAAAAAATGAAATGCCTGAGAATATTGAACAACAAGCTTAATTCACTTGTTGTTATCTTACAGAATATTCTAGAATGAACCAGTGTTAATGTGGTAAAAATATTTTTGAAAACGTCATCAGTCTTTGTTCAATATTTGCAGTGGGTTGGTTGTGATTGGCACATATTTCCTCTGTATATTCAGTTTAATCAATTATTGAATGTTGGCTGTTTAAAATGTGCAGCTGAGTGGCAACTTGAAGGCTGTGATCAAGGCCATGCAGTTGTTTGACTACAACATGGACGGCAAGGTCCAGCGGCATGAACTACGGCGGGTGCTGGAGAACTACTGCTTCAAGTTCACAGACCAGCAATTTGACAAGTGAGACATTTTTCATTAACCAAGCAATAATCTGATACATCCTCAAAGGTCCATCCACAGATAAAAAACCACCAACACCCCACAACACCAACACCACCCACACCACCCACACACCACACCACCCACACCACACACACCACACCACACCCACCACACCACACCACACCACACACACACCCATTGCATCTACTCACGCCTGGAAATGAAGTGTAGTTGACAGAAAATGGATACATATACTATATAATTTGTTTCTCCAAAAGTCATATTTGTTGTAGCTTTACGACAAATTATATACGTTGCTGGAAATAGAGAGATCCTGGGAAACCTCATCAGTGACAGGTCAAATTGTTCCATGCATAAAAACTATCTAGCAATACTCCCAAGTGCTGTCACATAACCTTAGTTATCATTATAAATATTATACATTTATAGAGCAAAACCTGCAAATAATGACAGAATGCAAGAATATATTTCTCTTAGTAAAATAATAGTTTGAGATACTATATATTCCCGATCACTGCATCAAAATTCATCTCGTTATATTATTGGGTATATTTTAACTAAATCACTGGTAGATAGCACAGCTGATTGCTCTGTATACAAGACAAATACACACGGTAATCTTAATCCCTGTTTATAAGATAGAGCCTAGCAAAAACAAATAAATAATCTTGTATTGTGAAGTTTTATTGCAAATTTGACGTCTTCACTGACAAAGCAATTTTCTCTTGTTTGACTGAGATAGATTCACTCTGTTCAGTGTTGGTATATGGAGTCTGTTACCATGTGAGTAACTGTACATTTCACAATCACTGATATATTCCTTAGGCTTTCCTGTTCATTTGTTTTATTGATATCACAGGTTTCCTGTAACGTAAACAAATCTCCTGTTGGTTGCCGTGGTGACACGGTTGATTGACTCCATTGTGGTTCTTCAATTGTTTGTCAGTATCGCTTTCTGTGTGACCTTTACCTTCACCCCAAACTGAGAATTGCTATACACACTGTATTTATCTCCGTAACACCGATCTTGGTGATAGAGCTTTTACACTTTTGACGGGACAATGGCTTGTGTTTCTCTTTATTTAGTGTTCCCCAAGTCAATTTATGTTCTATTGTGTATTGAAAGGCTAAAGTCTCTCAGGTAGAATGTGAGTCTATTTAAATCACCATGTATAGGTTCAGATTTGGTCAAATATTTTCAGGATTGGTCAGAAATGAAAAACAGTTGTCTACTTTTATATCTTTTTCTTTCTTTGATGGGACACTAGCATGTTTCTCTCTGTATTTAGTGTTCAGCGAGTCAATTATCTGTTCTTTAGTGTATAGCAGTGTATGAAATAAGCTAAAACTCCAGCCTGACATCAGACATCAAAATGGATTTTGACAGACAACACAATTCTGGTGGTTAAGATTCTTCTTTTTAATCTTCCAATCTCACACGTGGTTTTCCACACTTCCACGGTGCACTGATCCCCGAAACAAATAAGGCTTCCTCTCGCATACTCTCGCTCACTTCTCGTGATAATCGAGATAGTCTCGAAACGATTTACAATCTCAACTATTTTTTTTTTTAAATTTGAAATTTATTAAAACTGCTTAAAACACGTTTTTTTGTTTTTTTTTTTTAAATACACATGATAAAAGTCCTCATCTTGGTATAGACATCCACAGTCACTGTTCTCATGACAACATTCTCTTCAGTGATTTATATATACTGTTATTTTACAGTCACTATATCACAACACTGTAGTCTCTTCACTTACTGTTTAGAAAACAGTTTCACAGTTTCTTCACAGCCTCTATGTCACTATATTAATATAGCCATCTTGTAGAGCTTGCAAAGCCGAACTGGTGAAGCTCCTTTCTTTGTCATGCAGTCAGCCATTTAATCTGAACCATCCCCTCATCTTAAAGTTTCTTGATGCCAGCTATCTCCACTCTTAATCTCTTCTGGGTCACAGATGTATTGGAATGAACAGCTTCCCATACTGACATACAGTCTGTCAAACACAGAATCGACAACATTTCTGATTGCTCACCTTTTCCAGGTACAACTTCAGCATACAATGTTGACATATATACTGCTGTGTCAATTGCATCTGCCATTGCTAAGGTCTCTGCTGCAAGAGTACTGCGCACAGTTTCTTTGAACTCCAGCATACTGGCAACACCTGTGCTTGTTCATTCATCAAGATGATCACATATGATCCCTGACTCCCTCCATTTTGTAGATTTCCTAAGGAGGCATCAGAGTATGTCAGCAGTTTCAGTTTTCCATCTAGCTTCCTATATCTCAAAACAACATTCTCACTTTTAATCTGTTTTATGACCTTGTTCACTTCAAGGAGATTGGCCACAACTGCAGATTTTATACAACTTGATAACCGACTTGTTTCGAACAAAATATCTGGACGAGTATGATGAGCCAACCAGAGTATTTGCCCTAACCGAGACCTCATTACCTTTCTTTCTTCTTCTGAGACTGGTTGTTGCTTGTCAGTTGCTCTAGCCTTGTCAATATTGATAAAGGCAAGTTTGTCACTGTATCCACTCTGTTGTAGCAAGACTTGATCCTCATCTGACTCAAGATGCATACCTAGATATCTGAAAGCTTTTATCTCCTCATTCCCAACATCAAGAATTGTTCTCATTTGCTGTATAATTTCAATGAATCTGCTGTTTCCACCCCATATGAAGTCATCAACATGTGATGCAAGCACACCTTCAATTCCATCACTGCACCATATGAACACTGCTGGGTCAACCTTTGACACGACTGCACCAAGTTCCTTCATCACTTCTCTCACACGGAAATACCACTGCAGTGAAGCATCATTCAATCCATATACACACTTGTTGAGTTTCCAGACCTTTCCTCTCATGTTTACTTCTTTCTGAGGTCTAACAAACACGTCCCTGTCTATGATTGCCCCCTGTAGGAAGGCAGTCTTGATATCCATAGCATGAGGTGTCCATTGCTTGTTGACCATCACAGCAAGTATCATTTTCAAGGCTTCTCCTGCACATGTTGGTGAATCTGACTGCACTACTTTTGAAGCTCCATCTTCAAAACCCCTTGCTACCAGTCTAGCTTTCAGTTTGATTCCATACAATTATAAGTTTCACTTATCAAAGTTTGACACTGTGGTGTTTATCTGTATTTTATGATTATGATGCATCCAATATGACTGACGACATCAATCCATGTGTCTTTTAGACTGTGGCAGAGGTATGACTTCCACCACACCGGGACAGTGAACTACAAGGAGTTCCTACAGAGACTGGGAGTCACACCTCAGAGGCCTAACAGTAAGCCTGGCCCGGGGGTACCAGGAGGTATGTGTAGCTGTTGCTGTTGCTGTTTCAGTGTGTGTTTTTCATTGCTGCACTCACCGACTTGGATGACACACGTCATTGTGTCCCAACTGCGTAGGTTGCTGCTCATGCTGTCGGTCACTGGATTGTCTGATCCAGACTCCAGTATTTACAGACCACCGGCATTTTGCTGGAATATTGCTGAGTGCGGCGTTAAACGACAAACAAATCACAATGCCACACTCAGTTATATTCAAACTATATGATGACAGTCTGTAAATGTGGAGTCTGGATTAGACAATCCAGTGATGGATGTTGAGAGTAACCATCCACACCATCAGGATACAAAGTCAAGCAGTCATGCAAGTCACCGTGCCTGACCACCTGATCCATCTGATTGCCTCTTTCGTTGTCACAGTCCCTGAACCACATTATTTTCCCTACTGCAAGGCCCTTCTTGGAAGTCCTACTGCAAGTCCTTGATGAAGGACTCTGAGTCTAGATTTCCCCGGGTCCTGAATCTCCCAACTTACTGGGACTCCTTCTCAGTTTAAATGAGTTTGTTTGTTACTATCAAAATTATATGTATTCAGGGACTAGCGATAGTGAGTGAGTGAGTTGTGAGTGAGGTTTAAGTTTATTCCACAATATCACCAGAAATTTCAGCAATATTCCAGCAATATCACTCAGAAATGGGCTTATTGCACATTGTTGTGGACCTATTCTATAATTCACAATAAAAAAAACAGTTATAAATTTATGAAAAATTATCATTTGTTGTGATTGAGATTGCTTATGCCCTTATACTTTCAGAATTATAAATCTTGGACATGTGGACATGTGTTAATTTCTTAGCTTCATCTAAGGCTGACATGTCATCTGACTGACAAAGTTACAGATAGCATTAAAGCAACTTAGATCACTTCCCTTGAAATCGGTGTTCTAAACAAAGTTGTGATGAGATAGCTACAGTACAATGATTGACCAACTCTGTGTATTGACTGACTTACAGCACTGACCTGGCCGGCAGTGACCAACCATGACAAGCAGCAGGCGGGAGGTCTGACCGACTTCCACATCCAGAACCAGCAGCAGCGAGACCAGCAGATGCTGAACCAGATGACCTTCACCCAGATTGAGATGGAGTTCAGGAAGAGGGTCAGTGGGACATTTATACAACATTGTTTGATCTTATAAAACAGTCATTCTAATTTTGAAACGGCAGTGAAAGAGTTGCTTTGTTGGTACTTGTTAATTTACATAACAATAATTAAATATAAAAAATTATAGTCAATAGCCCAAACCATTTTACCCTATTCTTCTGTAAATAAATTTGTCAGATTTCCCTTTGACAAAGTCTTCTATATCTTACTGGTTCCATTTTCTTCCAGCTTATTTTTTCTAGTCTCCTCCTTCTAATTCTCCTCCCACTGAGTTGAACCAATTGTCCTCAAACTGTCTTTGTCCAATTCTCCCCCCATTGAGTTGATCCAATTGTCCTCAAACTGTCTTTGTCCAATTCTCCTCCAACTGGGTTGATCCAATTGTCCTCAAACTGTCTTTGTCCAATTCTCCTCCCACTGAGTTGATTCAATTGTCCTCAAACTGTCTTTGTCCAATTCTCCTCCCACTGAGTTGATCCAATTGTCCTCAAACTGTCTTTGTCCAATTCTCCCCCAACTGGGTTGATCCAATTGTCCTCAAACTGTCTTTGTCTAATTCTCCTCTCACTGAGTTGATCTAATTGTCCTCAAACTGTCTTTGTCCAATTCTCCCCCCACTGAGTTGATCCAATTGTCCTCAAACTGTCTTTGTCCAATTCTCCTCCCACTGAGTTGATCCAATTGTCCTCAAACTGTCTTTGTCTAATTCTCCTCTCACTGAGTTGATTCAATTGTCCTCAAACTGTCTTTGTCCAATTCTCCCCCCCACTGAGGTGATTTATTTGTCCTCAAACTGTCCTTGTCCAATTCTCCTCCCACTGAGGTGATTCAATTGTCCTCAACCTGTCTTTGTCCGATTCTCCTCCCACTGAGTTGATTCAATTGTCCTCAAACTGTCTTTGTCTAATTCCCCTCCCACTGAGTTGATTCAATTGTCCTCAAGTTGTCGTTGTCCAATTCTCCTCCCACTAAGGTGATTCAATTGTCCTCAAATTGTCCTTGTCCAATTCTCCTCCAACTGAGATGATCCAATTGTCCTCAAACTGTTTTTGTCCAATTCTCCTCCACTGAGGTGATCCAATTGTCCTCAAACTGTCTTTGTCAAATTCTCCCCCCACTGAGGTGATCCAATTGTCCTCAAACTGTCTTTGTCCAATTCTCCCCCCACTGAGGTGATTCAATTGTCCTCAAACTGTCTTTGTCCAATTCTCCTCCCACTGAGGTGATTCAATTGTCCTAAAACTGTTTTTGTCCAATCCAGTTCTCCTCCCACTGAGTTGATCCAATTGTCCTCAAACTGTCTTTGTCTAATTCTCCTCTCACTGAGTTGATTCAATTGTCCTCAAACTGTCTTTGTCCAATTCTCCCCCCCACTGAGGTGATTTATTTGTCCTCAAATTGTCCTTGTCCAATTCTCTTCCCACTGAGGTGATTCAATTGTCCTCAACATGTCTTTGTCCAATTCTCTTCCCACTGAGTTGATTCAATTGTCCTCAAATTGTCCTTGTCCAATTCTCCTCCCACTGAGGTGATTCAATTGTCCTCAACCTGTCTTTGTCCGATTCTCCTCCCACTGAGTTGATTCAATTGTCCTCAAACTGTCTTTGTCTAATTCCCCTCCCACTGAGTTGATTCAATTGTCCTCAAGTTGTCGTTGTCCAATTCTCCTCCCACTAAGGTGATTCAATTGTCCTCAAATTGTCCTTGTCCAATTCTCCTCCAACTGAGATGATCCAATTGTCCTCAAACTGTTTTTGTCCAATTCTCCTCCACTGAGGTGATCCAATTGTCCTCAAACTGTCTTTGTCAAATTCTCCCCCCACTGAGGTGATCCAATTGTCCTCAAACTGTCTTTGTCCAATTCTCCCCCCACTGAGGTGATTCAATTGTCCTCAAACTGTCTTTGTCCAATTCTCCTCCCACTGAGGTGATTCAATTGTCCTAAAACTGTTTTTGTCCAATCCAGTTCTCCTCCCACTGAATTGATCCAATTGTCCTCAAACTGTCTGGGTCTAATTCTCCCCCACTGAGTTGATCCAATTGTCCTCAAACTGTCTTTGTCCAATTCTCCCCCACTGAGTTGATCCAATTGTCCTCAAACTGTCTTTGTCCAATTCTCCTCCCACTGAGTTGATCCAATTGTCCTCAAACTGTCTTTGTCCAATTCTCCTCCCACTGAGTTGATCCAATTGTCCTCAAACTGTCTTTGTCCAATTCTCTCCCACTGAGTTGATCCAATTGTCCTCAAACTGTCTTTGTCCAATTCTCCTCCCACTGAGTTGATCCAATTGTCCTCAAACTGTCTTGTGTCCAATTCTCCCACCTCCCACTGAGTTGATTCAATTGTCCTCAAACTGTCTTTGTCCAATTCTCCTCCCACTGAGTTGATCCAATTGTCCTCAAACTGTCTTTGTCCAATTCTCCTCCCACTGAGTTGATCCAATTGTCCTCAAACTGTCTTTTGTCAAATTCTCCTCCTCACTGAGTTGATCCAATTGTCCTCAAACTGTCTTTGTCCAATTCTCCTCCACTGAGTTGATCCAATTGTCCTCAAACTGTCTTTGTCTAATTCTCCTCCCACTGAGTTGATCCAATTGTCCTCAAACTGTCTTTGTCCAATTCTCCTCCCACTGAGTTGATCCAATTGTCCTCAAACTGTCTTTGTCCAATTCTCCTCCCACTGAGTTGATCCAATTGTCCTCAAACTGTCTTTGTCAATTCTCCTCCCACTGAGGTGATCCAATTGTCCCAACTGTCATCTGTCCATGTCTTCCACTGTGATGTAGCTGTAATCAGTGTCCCACTGAGTGTGTCAATCTGTATGTATGATGTAGCTGTAATCAGTGTATAGCATGTGTCTGTATGTATGATGTAGCTGTAATCAGTGTATAGCATGTGTCTATGTATGATGTAGCTGTAATCAGTGTATAGCATGTGTCTATGTATGATGTAGCTGTAATCAGTGTATAGCATGTGTGATGTAGCTATGTATGATGTATCTATGTAGATGTAATCAGTGTATAGCATGTGTCTATGTATGATGTAGCTGTAATCAGTGTATAGCATGTGTGTATGTATGATGTAGCTGTAATCAGTGTATAGCATGTGTCTGTATGTATGATGTAGCTGTAATCAGTGTATAGCATGTGTCTGTATGTATGATGTAGCTGTAATCAGTGTATAGCATGTGTCTGTATGTATGATGTAGCTGTAATCAGTGTATAGCATGTGTCTATGTATGATGTAGCTGTAATCAGTGTATAGCATGTGTCTGTATGTATGATGTAGCTGTAATCAGTGTATAGCATGTGTCTATGTATGATGTAGCTGTAATCAGTGTATATCATGTGTCTGTTATCCTCTCCTACGGCTGCAGATGAAGACCAACTACTTAAACCTGAAGAAAGCCTTCATGTCATTTGACAAGCATCTGGATGGGTTCATCTCCCTGGACGACCTGAAGGCCATTCTCACCAACTTCACCATCCCCATGTCTGACCAGCTGTTCAGTCAACTCATGGAGAGGTAGGTCGCCGCAATGCTCTGGTGATATGTCCATATTATTCCTTGTCATAGTAACCAGCTTGAACCTGGCATATTCATTAATTTCACTCTTTTAACAGTTTGATTCCTTTCCTAAGAGCTGATGAACCATGAAGGTCTTCAGCAGCCCATGCTTGTCGTAAGAGGCGACTAATGAGATCGGGTGGTGAGGCTTGCTGAGTTGGTTGTCATCGTATCCCAATTGCGTAGATCGCTGCTCATGACGTTGATCACTGGATTGTCTTGTTCAGATGCAGTTATTTACAGACCACCACAATATAGCTGGAATATTGCAGAGCCAGGGATGGAAATAACTTTAAAATTGCTAGTGTACTCCGGTACGGTGGCATATGTAAAATCACTTGCCCTGATAATTTTTCCTCTATACCGTCCGTTTTCTTGTTGATTTTTTAAATAAACAACATAATTAATATTTCCACCCCTGAGAGCGCAATGTTAAACAACAAACAAAACAAATAAAACAAACCTAAGATCAATACGAGACAAACCTGACTGCCCAACAGCATGAGGAATATAAACCAATATGGATCGTCTATTTAAATTGGTTTGACTTCATTGTCAAAATGACTGCTATGAACATCTTTTATTGGTAGTTTTACTAATGTTTGTTTGTGTAGGAAAACTCAATCCACATGTCAAAATACAGTGTTATGGTAAAGATCCAACTGAAACAACATGGTGTAGTATCATTTAAATTTATTAATTTAATGAAGTGCTAGGGTGATTATTATTCACCATTTACAACTTTCTGTTAAGTTCATTTTTGTGAGTTGTCTAAATATTTGGTGGTTCATACCTAGAATTAGAAGGCCTGACTGAATGATTTGACCTCGGATGTTGTCAATTTCAAGGTGCGGTGTAAAAGGAAGCCACAAGATATCCTGGGAAGCCTTCTTGGAAAAGTTCCAGAATCCATGGATGGTTGGAAATGGACAGACATTGCCCATCAAACCTAATCACAAGTGAGATTGATTGTACTTATACTGGACAGTGAGTTTACTTTTTTAAGATACCTTGAATGCCATTTTATCTCTGCAGTTGTGGATGACAGCTAGAGTCTTGAGTCTTGAAATTTTGTCTTCATAGAAATCAGAAACACCACGTCCTATTTCTTTTTAAACACTGACAACATATCAGCTTTTCAGTGTATCATATTTCAGGATGATTGTCTCCAGGTAGTCAGAGGGTTGACGCCATTTTCTGTTGTCCTCTGCAGTGATATTGCTGGAATATTGCTAAAAGCTTTTAGTCGGTCCCAAAACTAAAACTCACTCACTCACTCAAGGTAGTCAGACATTCATTGGGTGTTTAGGTTCTTCCCCATCATGGAGACCCAGAAGATGATGGAGGCAGACGACATCTGGTACCAGCTGTACCGCCACGTCCAGAGTAACTATTCCTCCTTCAAGAGTGCCTTCCTTGAATTTGATGTTGTAAGTTTATGATTGTATCATGTTTAAATTGAATAGAATTTGTACAACAAACAACTATTTTGCTATCTATTTACTGTATGTTTCAGTATATAGGCAAGACTACAGAGTTTTACACACTTTTAAAAATGGGAGTCATTTTCAATATTTGGGAGTCATGGAAATTTTAATATTTCTTTGTGTTAATCACTCTCAGTATGTAACTGTATATGTCACACCAACAAATGAAACTACAGCATTGTTCAATTCAAACAGCCAGGATTACTGTCTCCTCTGAGTTCTCTGGAACAAGCTGACAGCGCTGTAAAAGTCAAACTATTATCGAACAATATCATTTTTTGCTTATCAAATCAATTTTATTGAACTGAATAAAACTTGCATCACGCAATGATAATATACTCGTATGATAATATTTTGAGAGTCGTTTACAAAATTGTTGCGTCAAATATGCAGGAATCACGCGTCATGTAAAACCCTGAGGCTACACATAACCATTGATTCCATTGTTTAATGACTTACTAAAGTCACGTATACCCAAGTATTTCAGGATAGGTTGGCAGGTGTGTATTTATTAAACAAAGGGATTCAAGTTTTAAGCTGAACCCGACAAGCCTGTATTGGTCGTACAAGTTGACTTAAAGGTGGTACTTCCCTCTGGTAGGTTTCAAGGTTGTAGTAGTCTGACTATTTCTAGGTCTCCGATACAGTAGCCATTGCAAGGGGCATTCTGCATGATAGCTAAGGGAAACTGGTCCCTGACTGTATTGACATTGAAATGTGTTGAAATCTGTTTACTGTACATACAAATTTGTTCATCTACAGAATCGAAATGGGCGGATCACGCGGAAAGAGCTGCGTCGTATCATTGAGAAGTTTGCGTTCCGCTTGGATGAAGAACAGTTCAGGAAAATGATGGTGACGCTAGATCCTCACCATAGCAACAGCATATCCTACCACAAGTTCCTTGACTTCTTTGAGGAAAAGGAAACCAAGGTGACAATTTGTAGAAAAAAAATCAAAATGGCAGACGGACAGGTTTATCCGGTAATTTAGGCCCAAACCATACATACATTTGGCAAAAGTAAATAATTACTGAGTAAAACGTCATATCTGTGATTCACTAGTATATTTACTGCCCATCGTCGACAGGTTTTAATCTTCAAAATGTTTTCTCTTTATATTGTATAAATTATTTCGCACGATATGGTTGAGATATTGCCGATGCGACGTTAAATGTTAACTCACTCACTCATTGAGTAAAACGGAGTATAGTTTAGTATTAATTAATGTTACTTTTATTCATACCTTATACGGCGATCTTGTGAAAGATATCTACTCAATGATTTTACAATATGGATATTTAAGAGATAAACATACTGTGCTGGGAAATCAGATGAATGTTAACAGAATTGATAGTCTCTAAATTTCACTTGGAACCGAACGCGTCGTAGTCCAATAACAGCAGTCGGATGAAGATTTCAGTTGTCGGTGGCTGAGTCAGATGAGTTGTAAAACAGTCAGATCTTTGTTGTTTTCTAAAAATTGACCGGAAGGCGAGGTTTCCGGATATCTGGGGTCCGGGTGTCCGAGGTCTCACTGTATTTTGGACATATTAATAAAATATGGGGTTCATCTTCTGTGTAATCAAGGCCATCAGCATGACAAAAGAGGCAGAGACGTTCAATATACAGGGTGTATGTATGACGGCCACATTCCACTGAGAGTCTGAAGTTACAGCACCGAAACTGAGTTATGATTTTGCGTTGATTGGTAGCAGTTCACTGGTTAAATATGGTCAGAATGGACTGACTTGTAACCTCTGTCAATCTGTGATGTTTATTTGCAACTTTACTGGGCGGTCAGACTTGGTGATTTGGTTGAGTGAGTGAGTGAGTGTAGGTTTACGACGCACTCAGCAATAGTCCAGCTATATGGCAGCGGTGATTTGGTTGAGGGATTTTCATCACACCAAGACAAGGGTTGCTGATCATAATATCACTGGATTGTCTGGTCTGAGGTATGCTTGGCAGAAGCAGAATGTGTTTATAGGAATTTTAGTCTTATTAGGAATTTTGCCAGTCAATGGGTTCATGATATGTTTTCCACCTTCTACCCGCACCCAGGAATAAGTAGATGATATGTTTTCCACCCTTCTACCCACCAACCCCAGGAATAAGGGTTGATGATATGTTTTCCACCTTCTACCCACCAACCCCAGGAATAAGTAGATGATATGTTTTCCACCTTCTACCCACCAACCCCAGGAATAAGTAGATGATATGTTTTCCACCTTCTACCCACCAACCCCAGGAATAAGTAGATGATATGTTTTCCACCTTCTACCCACCAACCCCAGGAATAAGTAGATATATGTTTTCCACCTTCTACCCACCAACCCCAGGAAAAAGTAGATGCTCCTTAACTCTTGCCCAAGCCTCTGTGAGTCTTAAGTGGCTGGCGACTGACGGGATCAGGTGGTCAAGCTCGCTGACTTGGTTGACACATGTCATCGTATCCCAAATGCGTAGATCAATGCTCATGCCGTTGATCACTGGATTGTCTGGTCAAGAATTGATGTACAGATCATCACCATATAGCTGGAATATTGCTGAGAGCTGCATAAACAACAAACCAACCAACCAAATCTTAAGTGACTGTCCTCTAAGCCACTTAAAGTGAAAGTGTGAATGAATGTTTTTATCTGTAACATGAATATTTTGTTAATGTTTAAATTGAATATATCATACAATTCCTGAATGTATTTCTGTTTTCAGGAAGGCCACAAGTGGTTAAACTCTTGTCACAGAGTTAATGAGCAACAGCAACCAGCAATAATGGCATGGGAGACTGTAAGTGTGTTTGTATATGACTATATATAGTTTAGCAGAAAACCTTTTGTAACAGTGTTTGGTCACTTTACTCAAAAACTACAAGTACAATCATTTTCTAATTAGGCATGATGCATTATAATTGTTCTACTAAAATATTGACACAGTTCACTATTTGTTACGAGGGAGGAGTGCAGAGAGAGGTGTGCGAGAAATGCTCAGCACAGGTAAATGAATCAATAGCACACCTGGCAGTTCCTCTCTCTGCACTCCTCCCTCATAACAAATAGCGAACTGTGTCAATATTTTAATGATAATTTGTTAAACAACTTTTTTATTATTAAATCATAATTCATGAAATTAAAAAATTACAATAGAACAATTATAATGCTTCATGCCAAATTAGAAAACAATTGTACTTGTAGTTTTTGAGTAAAGTGACCAAACACTGTTACGAAAAGTTTTCTTCCAGACTATGTGTATGACTCTATCATCTGGCTGAGTGTTGTCTGGGAGTGCCACCATCACATATACGTCATATTTATCACATTCCTGTGTTTGTTGTTAAATCACATGTTTTAAAAAAAAATTCTACTGTAATGTTATTGACAGTTCATTGTCAATGTAGAATCCTTTTGGAAGCCCATCATTTTGTTATCTTGATTATATGAAATCAAATAAACCATGATTTCCTACATTAATTTTCCGCAAGATGAAAGTTAGATGTTAGGCTTCACTCAGAATGATTCGACTTACTGAGCAGTGTTAAAGATTTTCACCAAAGTAGATTAAACACAAGAAGCCCCTTCTCCACTGTGAATTTTTTTGTTACTTTTTTATCACTTTATGAAAGTAACGCTTTTAAGACAATAATCATGACAGATAATTTCGAGATATTTAGATCTATTTTTAATCAACAACAAACCAAAACCAAGTGGAAATTATATGCCTTGCAGTAATAAATTTGCATGTTATTAATTTTGAAACATGTAAGGGTTATCTGCATGAAATTGACGACTGCATGGCTTTGCATAATTTTCTGTTTCTACTGACAAAGTTCACTGCAAATTGTTTTCTTTTTAACACTTTATGTTGCATGAGCACAAACTGTGGATGTTTATTACAGATAGAAGATTTATTACGGGAAAAGATCACTGAGCACTGGAAGACTGTAGCCGAGGCAATAATATATTATGACCACAGAGCGGAGGGAGTTATCTCCCCTGTCAACTTGAAACGAGTTATAGATCATTATGTTTTACCCGTGTCTGAGGAACACTTCCAACAGTGAGTGCTTGTGATGATTTTGTGTCATGTCTTTTGTCTTGCACTTCTAATTGTAATTGATGCATGATGAATAATTGTCTTGACATTTTTAAGCCCATGTGTCTTGTGTAAGTTCCTGTTTGTATACAGGTTCCATTGCATGATGTGAAATTGTATGGTTTATGCATTATGTTTGACCATGGAATGAAAATTAAATGTTTTTAGTTAAAGATGTTTGATATTTTGAGTGTCAACACAAAACTGGTAAATATTATTCCTGTGAGGTAAAGAAAACCTAACACATAGCATGAAGACTCATACTCGTCCATTTGAGAAAATGACATCTATATTTGCAAAACTTCAGTAAAGATCCATGTCGGAATTAGGTCTTTAGCAACCCATGCTTGTCTTGAGAGGTGTCTAACAGGATGGGGTGGTCCAACTTGATGAGTTTCTTTGTGAATATCATTATGTTGCTGGAAATGTCATTCGCTGGATTGTTAGGTCCAGACTCAATTGTTCACAGTCTAGTGTTGTATAGCTGGTATAAAACAATATGCAGTTGAAACATTGGACAAAATGTAAGACAGCAATCCCTGCTTAAGTTTAACCTTGAGGATGAGATGAAGAAATTTATATGAACATATTTGTTTCTTTGAAATGTCAGAAATTGCGTGTCCACAATAAAACAGTGACTCTCCACATACAATGTTATGTAGTCAAACTGATATTTGTGCTTAGTTCTTGAATAAAAGTCGTTAAAATGGGATAAGAAAGAAGATGGAATTTGACTTTATTCACTTTGTTGGTCAGTCTGTTGAGTCGCTGTGAAAGTCGGTCAGATGGAATGGTCAGCTATGTGGAGTTCCTGCAGGGCCTGGACATCGACATCATCCCCGGCGACATCAACGGCCTCAGCACACAGATCAACGACAGCAGTGAACTCACAGAGTTTCAGCGCCAAGAAGGGCAGAGAGCAAGGTGAGCCATCTTCAGCAGCTGAACTGGGGTCGGTGGGGTAGCCTAGTGGTTAAGGCGTTCGCTCGTAACGCCGAAAACCCGGGTTCGATTCCCCACATGGGCACAATGTGTTAAGTCCATTTCTGGTGTCCCCCGCCATGATATTGCTGGAATATTGCTAAAAGCGGCGTAAAACTAAATTCACTCACTCACTCACTCAGCAGCTGAACTAAGGATGAGCTGGTGCACTAAGTCGTTCATTTACGATTTTGTGATCACAGATTTACAGACAGAATATAACAGACATACTGCACAAGTATTTCAAAGTGTTGAGGTTGGTTTGCACAAGTATTTCAAAGTGTTGAGGTTGATTTGCAATTGTAAGTTTCTGGTATAGTGAAATATGTGGTATATTTTCTAAAACAAGCAGTCACACAGGCCAAACACCTTGTTTCATTGCAGGTGTTTGATACATGACACATTTTGTTGCTGTATCTACTGTACAGGACACATTTTGTTGCTGTATCTACTGTAGGACACATTTTGTTGCTGTATCTACTGGAGGACACATTTTGTTGCTGTATCTAATCAGGACACATTTTGTTGCTGTATCTACTGTAGGACACATTTTGTTGCTTAATCTACTGGAGGACACATTTTGTTGCTGTATCTAATCAGGACACATTTTGTTGCTGTATCTAATACAGGACACATTTTGTTGCTGTATCTAATGTAGGACACATTTTGTTGCTGTATCTAATGTAGGACACATTTGTTGCTGTATCTAATGCAGGACACATTTTGTTGCTGTATCTAATGCAGGACACATTTTGTTGCTGTATCTAATGTAGGACACATTTTGTTGCTGTATCTAATGTAGGACACATTTTGTTGCTGTATCTAATGCAGGACACATTTTGTTGCTGTATCTAATGCAGGACACATTTCGTTGCTGTATCTAATGCAGGACACATTTTGTTGCTGTATCTAATGCAGGACACATTTTGTTGCTGTATCTAATGTAGGACACATTTTGTTGCTGTATCTAATGTTGGACACATTTTGTTGCTGTATCTAATGCAGGACACATTTTGTTGCTGTATCTAATGTAGGACACATTTTGTTGCTGTATCTAATGTGGGACACATTTTGTTGCTGTATCTAATGTAGGACACATTTTGTTGCTGTATCTAATGTTCAGGACACATTTTGTTGCTGTATCTAATGTAGGACACATTTTGTTGCTGTATCTAATGTGGGACACATTTTGTTGCTGTATCTAATGCAGGACACATGTTGCTGTATCTAATGCAGGACACATTTTGTTGCTGTATCTAATGTGGGACACATTTTGTTGCTGTATCTACTGTAGGACACATTTTGTTGCTGTATCTAATGTAGGACACATTTTGTTGCTGTATCTAATGGGGACACATTTTGTTGCTGTATCTAATGCAGGACACATTTCGTTGCTGTATCTACTGTAGGACACATTTTGTTGCTGTATCTAATGTAGGACACATTTTGTTGCTGTATCTAATGCAGGACACATTTTGTTGCTGTATCTAATGCAGGACACATTTTGTTGCTGTATCTAATGTAGGACACATTTTGTTGCTGTATCTAATGTAGGACACATTTTGTTGCTGTATCTAATGTAGGACACATTTTGCTGCTGTATCTAATGCAGGACACATTTTGTTGCTGTATCTAATGCAGGACACATTTTGTTGCTGTATCTAATGTAGGACACATTTTGTTGCTGTATCTAATGTAGGACACATTTTGTTGTATCTAATGTAGGACACATTTTGTTGCTGTATCTAATGTACAGGACACATTTTGTTGCTGTATCTAATCAGGACACATTTTGTTGCTGGATTTAATGCAGGACACATTTTGTTCCTGGATCTAATGCAGGACACATTTTGTTGTATCTAATGTAGGACACATTTTGTTGCTGTATCTAATGTGGGACACATTTTGTTGCTGTATCTAATGTAGGACACATTTTGTTGCTGTATCTAATGTGGGACACAGTTTGTTGCTGTATCTAATGGAGGACACATTTTGTCGCTGTATCTAATGCAGGACACATTTTGTTGCTGTATCTAATGCAGGACACATTTTGTTGCTGTATCTAATGTAGGACACATTTTGTTGCTGTATCTAATGTAGGACACATTTTGTTGCTGTATCTAATCAGGACACATTTTGTTGCTGTATCTAATACAGGACACATTTTGTTGCTGTATCTAATGTAGGACACATTTTGTTGCTGTATCTAATGTTGGACACATTTTGTTGCTGTATCTAATGCAGGACACATTTTGTTGCTGTATCTAATGTAGGACACATTTTGTTGCTGTATCTAATGTAGGACACATTTTGTTGCTGTATCTAATGTTCAGGACACATTTTGTTGCTGTATCTAATGTAGGACACATTTTGTTGCTGTATCTAATGTAGGACACATTTTGTTGCTGTATCTAATGCAGGACACATTTTGTTGCTGTATCTAATGTAGGACACATTTTGTTGCTGTATCTAATGTAGGACACATTTTGTTGCTGTATCTACTGTAGGACACATTTTGTTGCTGTATCTAATGTAGGACACATTTTGTTGCTGTATCTAATGTGGGACACATTTTGTTGCTGGATTTAATGCAGGACACATTTCGTTGCTGTATCTACTGTAGGACACATTTTGTTGCTGTATCTAATGTAGGACACATTTTGTTGCTGTATCTAATGCAGGACGCATTTTGTTGCTGTATCTAATGCAGGACACATTTTGTTGCTGTATCTAATGTAGGACACATTTTGCTGCTGTATCTAATGCAGGACACATTTTGTTGCTGTATCTAATGCAGGACACATTTTGTTGCTGTATCTAATGTAGGACACATTTTGTTGCTGTATCTAATGTAGGACACATTTTGTTGCTGTATCTAATGCAGGACACATTTTGTTGCTGTATCTAATGCAGGACACATTTTGTTGCTGTATCTAATGTGGGACACATTTTGTTGCTGTATCTAATGGAGGACACATTTTGTTGTATCTAATGTAGGACACATTTTGTTGCTGTATCTAATGTACAGGACACATTTTGTTGCTGTATCTAATGTAGGACACATTTTGTTGCTGTATCTAATGTAGTACACATTTTGTTGTATCTAATGTAGGACACATTTTGTTGCTGTATCTAATGTACAGGACACATTTTGTTGCTGTATCTAATCAGGACACATTTTGTTGCTGGATTTAATGCAGGACACATTTTGTTCCTGGATCTAATGCAGGACACATTTTGTTGTATCTAATGTAGGACACATTTTGTTGCTGTATCTAATGTGGGACACATTTTGTTGCTGTATCTAATGTAGGACACATTTTGTTGCTGTATCTAATGTGGGACACAGTTTGTTGCTGTATCTAATGGAGGACACATTTTGTTGCTGTATCTAATGCAGGACACATTTTGTTGCTGTATCTAATGCAGGACACATTTTGTTGCTGTATCTAATGTAGGACACATTTTGTTGCTGTATCTAATGTAGGACACATTTTGTTGTATCTAATGTAGGACACATTTTGTTGCTGTATCTAATGTACAGGACACATTTTGTTGCTGTATCTAATCAGGACACATTTTGTTGCTGGATTTAATGCAGGACACATTTTGTTGCTGGATCTAATGCAGGACACATTTTGTTGTATCTAATGTTGGACACATTTTGTTGCTGTATCTAATGTGGGACACATTTTGTTGCTGTATCTAATGTAGGACACATTTTCTTGCTGTATCTAATGTGGGACACAGTTTGTTGCTGTATCTAATGGAGGACACATTTTGTCAGCTGTGTGTGGTTGTTGACATCTGATGAATGATTCATGTGTTACAGACAGCAAATGGCTGAAGTTCACGCCTTTAACAGAACCGGCACCATGTCAGCAGAAGAGGTCATCACAAGACTCAAGGACAGACTGAGTCAGCACCATGCTGGTGTCAGGAAGGCCTTCCTCAACTTTGACAAGAGAGGCAGGGGAAGAATATCCAAGAAGGTTTTCCGACAGGTACACTATTCTTTTATAATATCAATAAAGACCCTTGTATGCAATGCACCTGTTCAACTGTTATCCCTAAGTACAGCTGAGAGGGTTGCCGTCAGCACGGGTAGAACAGATGTGCACTCCAGGTACGTTTCTGTAAACAGAAACGTATCCTAGCCAAAATCTGAATGCAGAAACATACCCTAGGACGAGTCCATTCTGCATTGTGCTGTTTTGTTTTGTTGTATTAGATGCATTTGATTATGATATATAAGAAACAAAGTAAGAAATATTTCATGATGCACCATACCATTCACAAGCAGGCAACAGAAACAATTACAGTTTCGGTTTGGGGTTGCGGAAATCTGGATTCGTCCGTCGTTAAGGGTACGGGGTATGTTTCTGTATCTTGACTTTGTTTAAGGTACAATTCTGTGTACAAAAACATACCTGGGGTACATACCTGTAGTACCTGTGCCGACAATGGCCCCTTCAGCCTCATTACACCACAGGTTGGATCAGTTTCTTTTATGTATTTTCCACATGACTTTGTGGGTATGTGTTGATAATAGAATGGAAACATTTCCCAAACATTGTGACATTGTGCCTTAACTCAGTACCAGCAGCTTATTTATTTTGTAATTTTTGTATTCTGGGTAGAAGTACTTACTTTCAGAATATTCAGAAAACTGAACATAGAGAAATTTAGCTTGATCATAATTTTGTAGATAAATTAAATCACGCACTGACAAAAATTCTTTCTGGTGTTAATAACCTTTGGAATAGTGGTGACTTACTTAAATTCAGGTTATTCAGGATAGTGAAAACAATTAGGAGATAAACATAAATATTTTTAGGTGATAAAAATTGGCCAACACATGTGTTTATCGACATTGTAAACACAAAAGTAAACCAAAAGATCCACACACGTTTTGTGTCTGCACTCATTGACATCGAGTATGGGTACAGCAGTGAAATGTCATCAGCCGGCCGTTTCGGCTGTCTCCCATGGTAGCATCTGGAACTGCTCATTTGTGACATCATTCGGACTTTACGTCACAATATGATTTGAATGACATCACAGCTGATGACGTAGCAATACAATGGTGTGAGCGATGTTTGTACGTATTAATACGCAGCGATTTTCCGGGAATCGAATACCATTCGATCATGTTTTTCAACCAATCAGATTAAAGAACACAGTGACTTTTGGTTTACAATGAAATTTAGCTTGTTCATAATTTAACAAATAATTAAAATCTTTCAAAATATATATTTTCAGGTGTTAATAACCTTTGGAATAGTGATGACAGATGAGCAGTTCAATGTCCTTGTGTCCAAGTTGGACTTCCACGGAGGCTTCATGAGCTACTCCGACTTCCTGGCCAGTTTTGATGACCCCCGTCCAGGCGGTGCCGGACAGGACATGATGCGGACAGACAACCACCATGTGAACCCCATCAGAGGAGATGAGTATGGCATGAGTGCTCTTGAGGTGGAGTCCAAACTCAGGGCAAAACTCAGAGAAAACTTTGCAGTAAGTAAAGCTGAGTTTAGTTTGTCTTTTGTCAGTGCCAGTATGTTTTTCTACAAGCTATTTATTTTGCAATCATTTTGATTGCTGAAGCAAAGAAAATCTATTTTTGGGCTATGAATCATCTAAAACTGGTCTATTAAAACCACATCTCTGGCTATGATTTATCATCTAAAACTGGTTCCCACTGGAAATATCTTTTTTGCCACACTGTACACAGAATGACTTACAGTTTAGTATTTTACTGTCGAGAAAGATAAGAACCACATCTCTCCTCCTCCTTATACCCGTGGATGTGAAAATGGTACTTGTTGGTCCCTGCCTGGCTTCCGGCAAACAGCAGGTAGAGTCTGAAGCGGGCTGCAGGGTATTTTAGCACTCTAAAACCAGTGAGTTTGAGCAATATTCTGGGCATATCACACATGGTTGACACCTCACCTCCTTCCCTTATATGACCGAGTTCTGCCAGTAGTGGTTAAAATGTTTTTAGGGTCTAACATTAGCATGAAAAATATGTTGATGAAAAAAGGTCATAATAAAAAATTGCCTTATTTCCATCCAAATTTAAAAAAATTAAGCATGAGATAAACGTTTTTAAACAACCCTTCATGGAAACTGTGTACATTTTGAGACTCACATAAAGCTGGAATATCATGACATAAAGAAGTAAGGGAACACAAATAGTGAGTTTCTTCATACAAACATTAAGATTCTGTGAAACAGGGTGTTTGCTTGTTTTGATGAAAATCTAATCAGTTTTTTTCAAGGCCAAATACACTGAGAGAAACAAATAAAGGGGAACACAGGGAAATTCAAGTGTTCCTTTAATATTTTCCAGTTTTCATCACCAGCTTTGAACAGTGCTGTCAGAGGGAATCTGAGAATAAATAAAGGAGCAATGCTAAGAAGTGGGGTTCCCTTATTTGTTTCACTCAGTATATATCAGTTTTAAACCTGTATCACAATGTCTGCCATGTGTAGGATTTGAGGGGAGCCTTCTACAAGTTTGATGACAACCACACTGGCAGTCTGAGGAAGAACAACTTCCGGCGCATGTTGGATGCGTTCATGTTGGTGATGACAGATGAGGAGTTTGAGAAGTTGTGTAGCAGGATGGGCATCTCAAAGGACAGTCGCATCACCTACCAGGAATTCCTGGACAGGTTTGAAGTCCGGGATACAATAGATGGACATCAGTGGCTTAACTCTGTACACATGTAAGTTCTTCCTTCAGAAACTCTGTTTAACTCTGTACACATGTAAGTCATGCTTAACTCAGTACACATATAAGTGCTTCCTTCAGAAATTCATTCTTAACTCTGTACACATGTAAGTGCTTCCTTCAGAAACTCTGTTTAACTCTGTACACATGTAAGTTCTTCCTTCAGAAACTCTGTTTAACTCTGTACACATGTAAGTCATGTTTAACTCTGTACACATGTAAGTGCTTTCTTCAGAAATTCACTCTTAACTCTGTACACATGTAAGTGCTTCCTTCAGAAACTCTGTTTAACTCTGTACACATGTAAGTCATGCTTAACTCTGTACACATATAAGTGCTTCCTTCAGAAATTCACTCTTAACTCTGTACACATGTAAGTGCTTCCTTTAGAAACTCACACTTAACTCTGTACACATGTAAGTGCTTTCTTCAGAAACTCACACTTAACTCTGTACACATGTAAGTCATATTTAACTCTGTACACATGTAAGTCATGTTTAACTCTGTACACATGTAAGTGCTTTCTTCAGAAACTCACACTTAACTCTGTACACATGTAAGTGTTTAACAGAAACTCTGTAACTAAGTCATGTTTACACATGTAAGTCATGTTTAACACTGTAAACATGTAAGTGCTTCCTTCAGAAACTCACAACTTAACTCTGTACACATGTAAGTGTAAACATGTAGGTGCTTCTTCAGAAACTCACACTTAACTCTGTACACATGTAAGTCATGTTTAACTCTGTACACATGTAAGTGCTTTCTTCAGAAACTCACACTTAACTCTGTATACATGTAAGTCATATTTAACTCTGTACACATGTAAGTCATGTTTAACTCTGTACACATGTAAGTGCTTTCTTCAGAAATTCACACTTAACTCTGTATACATGTATGTGCTTCCTTCAAAGCATCAGGGTTATCCCTGTAGACGTGTGTGTGCTTCTTTAAGAAACACACACTTTACTCTGTAGACACGGAAGTGTTTTCTTCGAAAACCTAACTCTGTAGACATAAGTGGTTCTTTCAGAAATTCACACTTAATTTTGTACTTACATCCATCCTCTGAAACTCACACTTAACTTTTTAGACATAAAAGTGCCCCTTTCATAAACTTGTGCTTAATTTAGTAAACATGTAATTGTTTCTCCCAAAAACACACACACTGTAACTGGTTCAATAACTTGTAAACAAACCAAAGATCACATAATTATAGCGTACTGTAAATCTATATACTGAAAGAAACTTCAGTACTTCGACCTCATTTTTGATTGCCTTTAAGCAATGAAATTGTGAGTGTTTGCTGTTGGAACTACGGTGTAACTGTACCATTTTATTAGTGTCAGCATTTCATGCAAACAGGCTACTGACAATAGTGCATGCCTTTTACAGTGGAGACTTTGTGAGTTTTAAGCTATCTGGTCCATGATTACAGGTACAATAATGTCCTTCCACCTAAGGCCTTCACAGCAGAGGAAGCTCACGAGATGCTGAAGGTCAAGGTCCATCGACAATGGAGTGATCTTGCTGATGTAAGCTGTGTTTCATTAACTTGTGTTCTATAATGGCCAAAGACATACAATGTCCTATGTAGAAACTAGAAATGGTTGAGTGAGTGGTTTCAGCACTGCTTTGAACAGCATTTCAGTTACATAATGGCATGTCAGTATAATGTAGGATTAAAGCCATATGTTTATAATGTATGTGTCTGGCATTTAACACTTTATTTGGATATTATGTTGCTTGAAATTGGGATATGTTACATATTAAACACACACAGCGACATATATGCTCACATACTGACTCACACACACGTACACACACACATGTGCACATGCACGCACACAGTGGTATGGAACACAATTTCACCTCACCAAAGTTGTATTGAAATTAAATTCATGATGAGATGAAAGATGTCACAGAAAATATTGTCCAAACATTGGTGGACTGGCTTCATGGTATTTTGGACAGAGCCTCTGCTGGGTGAGCAGACGGGCACATCATATCATTGTTTTTACCCTGCCTCGCACATAAAAGGGGCTAAGTATTTCTGTGTTTCTCTTCCTCAGGCATTCCTCAAAATGGACAAGAAGACAGGGAAGGGGCTGATCCGGCGCCAGCATCTCAGAGAAGTCCTCTACAAGTTTGTCATGCCCATGACCAGTGAGGAGTTCAAAAAACTCTGGGCAAGGTGGGTCAGTATGGGTTGCCAGGCAACCACATTCAGCGAGTGAATTTGCAGCTTTTGTTTGTTCCATGCCACACTCACCAATATTCCTGCTATATGACGGTGGTCTGTAAATAGTCAAGTGATTAAGCATCTATCCACACACTAAAGATACAATGGGATTCTGCAAGTCGACTGGGTCTTCACAGATAGCGAGTGAGTTTAGTTTTACACCGCTTTTAGCAATATTCCAGCAATATCACAGTGGAGGACACAAGAAAGGGCTTCACACATTGTACCCATGTGGGGAATTGAACCTGGTCTTCAACATGAAAGGTGAATGCTTTAACCACTAGGCTACCCCACCACCATCCTTGATAGATAGGACCGCCTCCGTGGTGTAGTGGTTAGAGCGTCCGTCCGGAGAGCGGAAGGTCACGGGTTCAACCCCTCACCTCGTCATACCAAAAGACGTTAAAATATGGTACTTGTTGGTCCCTGCCTGGCTCTCGGCATTAATGGGTACAACAAGGACTGGTCGGCTCGGAGTCAGTATAATGTGTCTGAGTGGGGTATTTATGCTTCACTGCCGCATGGTATCTCAGTGGGCTAGCACTATAAAACCAGCTTAAGTCTGACCTAGTACAAGCAGCCGCACATACACATACACACACATGCACGTCGTCATATGAGCGAAATATTCTCAAGCACGACGTAAAACCAAATTTCACCTCACCTCACCTTGATAGATAGGATTGTCACAGCACTATATGGGTTCTTCCCACACTGCATATAGTAAAACTTGATCAAATACTCCAAAGTTGTCAGTATAATAATTTTTCCTTATCTGACTCATGCTCTTTTGCTTGTCTTCTTCTTCTTGCGAACATAGTGGAACACTTCTGTATCTCCCTAATTGAAGCTCCCTTCAATGTAAAATCACTAATTAGTACTCAGCGCGAGAGTTACCTCCCTTCCACAAGCGCGGGAACAAAGCGCCACTCCTCCACCATGTGCCTCACTCTCCTTCTTAGCCCAGTGAGCTGGGCATTGCGGTAGAGCGCCTGTGTCTCCGACACACTATATCCTTTGATTATATTTAGTTAGGTTACCTCATTATAGACATCTATAGAGGTTTAGCTAGTATCCTTCAACAATTATATATTGATATTTAGTCGTGTTTCTACTGTTTATTCCGCGGGCCGCGTGTTTGTTGCAGTTACGTTCTACGTTGCAGTTCGCGGTACTAATTTATCCTTTTCTACCTTTAATAAATAATTACTTTATTTGGGACAACGCGCAGCAGATGGGTCGCGTATGCAGAGTCTAGCCATGACTGATACACCTGAAACCCTCGCCAGTCTACTGCTGTTGGTAGACCCCTCTCCGTCTGGTGTTCGCTAGAGTGGTGGAGCGTGGGGCGTGAGTCCGCCGCCTCAAAGAGCGTCCTGCTTCCCCAGACATCCCATCGTCGCGAGCCGAAGACTAGAGGGTTTCTACTGCATCTCAACGCGCGACCTCTGAGGGAAAATCAACGAAGTCTACTTGAACTTTCTCAGCCAGATTGTTCCCGTGCCAGATTTGGGCCTGTATGATGATCAGCCGATCATCATACCTGATAATACATCGAAGAATGACCGATGTTCGACAACAGTGATGTCAGCGCCAGATCAACATGCAGCCTGATGTACCAGCAACGCTGATATTCTATGATCTTCCTGAGGGTCCCGTCGCTACCAACACTCAGCGCGACTTCGCACCCCCAGGGCAGCGTCGACCTCTGAGGGAAATCAACGAAGTCTACTGGGACTTTCTCAACCGAGATTGTTCCAGCCGCTGAACTGGGCCTCTACTCACGATGATCAGCCGATCATCATCCCGGCGTCGCATACAAGAAGCGACCGAGAGACAGCTACAGTGACATCAGCAGAGATCGCCATGCAGCCTGAGGTCTCTACACTGGCGTCAGGCGAGCGACTTCCCTGAGGGCCCGCCGCTAACATCGCAGAGAGGGCACCGACTAATTCGTCGCAGACCATCCCAGATGAACTGTTGCGGCAAATCATGATCATGATGGAGGGCCACTACAGACTGGGAAGCAGCCAGCCCAAGGCCTGAGCCTTAGCGAAGGTTCCAGCATGAGCGACACCCAGAGGCACCCCCATCAGCGTAACAGCCCGCAGCGAAGCCACAGCCGCCGAAGGAAGTCGCAGACCACCTCCACGAAGGGACCCAGATGTACAGCCCGAAGGCGGGGGATAGATCATCACCTGCCTCGGCTTCATCCTTAGATCTGGGACTCAGACCATCAGACCTCTCGGAAGCCTGTATGGTCAAATCGCCCGTTCCCCAGGACCCGGACGCCAGAGGAAGGCCTTCGCCAGCGAAGACACCTGACTACACAAAGGCTTAGCGAAGCTATCAACATTCTCCTCACAGGTCTCGAGAAGGTCAACCCATAGGCGCCAGATCACCAACCACGATCTCGGCGCCGTTAACGGCGCCGATCTCTTAGGTACATCCTGCGTCGATCGTCTCACAGGTCACCACACAAGTCTGCACACAAGTCTACAGTCAGGTCTCCCCGGCGTCACCCGACATAGAAATACACAGTCCACCATCAGAAGAGCAGCAACATCTCATCAGCGATGCTGGGATAGAAAATGATGGAGGCATCATTTTCTCAGGCGGCTGAGATCACGATGTGGATGGTAAACAACCTAGATCTCTCTTCACCTTCCAAAGGTGGCAGCTTCGAGCAGACATACCTGATAAAGGGGAAGGCGAGGCAGGCGCCATCACCTTACCTCCGATCGACTTCGATTGCTTTGCGCGGTGCCACAGTATGTGGACACAGCCTACCATAAAGCCATAACAGTTCAAGCGCCAGAGGCGTATGTTCTTAACATTAATAGATCTAGAGCGATCAATGAGATTCTTATCACCGAGATTTCGTGACCACGACTTCGAGAGATGATAGGATGATCTACTCGGCTCTACTTATGCAGAACCAGCAAGAACCACACCCTGTATGAAGCTAAGCGGCTCATATATTGATCGAATTCTAGGCGGCTTCTAAGGAAGTCCCAGGCCACCTCAGCGAAGGGCTAGAGCCTCACCAGTTACAAAGGGGCGTCCGCGGAGGTGGTAGCTTCACCGACCCACATATTGCTGAGTCGCGGTAAAACAAAACACTCACTCACTCACTCCTGTTGAACACAGAGAGTGGATTCGCGAAACAAGCGCTCATATATTATATATATACTGATCGGGCTCTGACTCGATACCTTCGAAGGTCGCGAAGGCTAAGGTGGCTCCAAGTCTACCTCACACAGAAATCTAGAATGGATACTTCGAGGCTTGGCGAAGTCTCCGGCGATCCACCGAGGAATTCTCCTCCAAGGTCTCCATATATTAGCCACTTTCGTCATATATAGCTACTCGTCAGTCCGTTCAAGACATCGCGATAAGTTGTCTATCAACTGTATGCCATATGCGGAAGCCGTCTATAAGCCCTACGGCGAAGACAATTGCACAGGCTATTTACAACACAAAGCGTCGCTATATTAATTAATCAGCGGCGTTGCATAGATCTTCACAGAAATCAACCTTTCATTATAGATTGCTAGAATATGCAATCCCGGACTCTACGATCGATTATCTACATGCGTGACCATTACGCAGGATCTGCAGACAATTCAATGCTCGAAAATTGAACAGCAGCCTTGTTACAGAGATTATAACTCATAATTGTCAAAGTTTCTGAGAAGAAATATGTACAAGTTCAGCTTTAATTCTACAATTATGACGATACATTCATGTATACAGTCTACAAGCTGACAACTTGCAAGTTTATTGTACCTTTATATAAGGAAGTCGAGATTATATTCAAAACTGAAGTTACATTCCGACAGCCAGGAAAAATAACCTACCCAGCGTTAATATACAGAGCTGAGGTATTTGGCGGAGGTTTCAGCGTTTTACCTTAACCCTCGAAACGTGGTCACTTTCGGGGTAACCCGGAAGCTACGGTGAAGACCGGCGATTATGCTAATATCAACGGCGGCAAGATTTTATACAAGGTTTTTCCTGCTACACGGTGACATCACAGCGAATTATTCTACAGAATCAAAATGCCTTGTTCTGATTGGACCGGCGTTGGACAGCGACCTACGCATGAGAGGTCGATCTTAGTTCTCACAGTTCAAGACTTACGTTACAAGTGAAAACTATATATCAGTGAGCGAGCAAGCCTCCTTACAGTCCAGTTAATCTGAACCTTCATGATTGGGCTGCTTTCTTCAGATTAGAGACCTCCCCTGTCAAGTTAGGACGAGGGCACGGCAGTCAGGCAATTTTACATAAAGTTCAATGAGGACAGACACACGGGTTGTGCACCTACATCGTCAAGGACTTCTCAGCCCGAATAACCTAGGCGGACGGGATACAAGTGGATCTAAATCCACAAGCGTCTCAGACTACAGCTGAATTTCATAATCAAGCTACTAACACAACTAGATGGTTAGTAAACCTACTTAAACTTTCTGATTGGAGAATTAAAGCGGAGTTTCACCCTCCAACTTGAGGGATCTGAATATAGTGCTCCAACACCTCACAAGTGGGGTTTATGAACAACGCCTGGATGAAATATACTTGGACTCCATGATCTGATGATTCTATCCGCGATGGCCAGCAAGAGCACTGTAAATTTATCTCCCACGAAACAAACAGAAGGGAATAATGCAACAGATTATTTCCTCTATCATCAACTTTTCACATGAGAATGAAATCCTCATTACTATATCTCCGTTTGGATCAGAACTGTCATACTTACGTGCATACAAGGCCGGATGGACCCAATCCGACCCTCCATGAGCTTTTTAATACTCATGATATTAGAAGCTAACTTCTACAATTGATCTACACAATATTATTTGAAATAATGGAGGGGTTTAATTTCGAGATCCGATATGGTGGTTGCCAACCATTATCTGAGATATCATCACCCGAGGACGTCTCAGGTA